TTTGTTTCCAAAAGTGAGGCTGGGGAGGAAAATAACTCTACACAGGTTACTTCCCTGGTCATAAGCATCAAAACCTCATTTCGAGAGTCATCATTCTGGGCCCCCAACGTTTTGTTAAGGATCAATGACACAGCAGAGAACACCTCCCCTGTGCTGTCATCCAGTTCCGTGTCAGCTCTATTTTGGATTTCCAAAGTATGAAAATTAACCCATTCATTTACATGGGTATCTCACTGTGAAAAATTTTATTAAATTCTAAATTTCAAATCTAAAGTTTTAACTGAGCTACTAAAACTAGAATTCAACAGGCTCTTCTTTGTCTTGAAATTTGAGTGCCTTATGGCTTTAGGGGTATTGGCATGTATAGAGTCCACAGGTGCACAGTCCTCTAGAAAAGTCACATATACAATAGAAAATATGCAAACTTAAAAAAAATAAATCAAATCTAATATTATCTCAGAGAAGAAGATGGGGGATTATAAAAAAAGCAGCATTTTACAAAGTGATGGATTATATTCACTTATGATTGTGGTGGAGCCATAGATGTATACCTACCTATGTCAATGTGTCAAGTTACAGACTAAGACACATTTGAGGTTTATCATGTGTCAATTATACTTTAATTAAGCCTTACAACTTGAATTTCTAAAGAGCTAATGAGGATAACAGTGAGTAGTGCTAAAAATAAAATTTTAGCATTATGTTTTTAACAGTACTAAGTTCACTTGTTTACTCTATTTACTAAGACACAGGTGGAATCCAAGCAAGATTATCACTTGTTTTATAAAAATGTACTATTCCTTTCCCTACAATTGCTCTAAAGAAGGCATGGCTAGGAGCAAAATTTACTAAAAATCAACATTTTTCTTTTATTTTGGAGACACTGAAGTAACCAATGACCTGTATTTTTAGGGTAACTTTCAATTTATAAAATATTTTTAGTGCAGTACTGGCCTGACAGTCTAATGGCTAAATTCTCTCCTTGCATGTGCCAGGATTCCATACGGGCGCTGGTTCATGTCCTGGCTGCTACATGTCCCATCTATCTCCCTGCTTGTCATCTGGGAAAGCAGTGGAAGACAACCCAAAGCTTTGGGACCCTGTAGCCATGTGGGAGACCCAGAAAAAGCTCCTGGCTCCTGGCTCTGGATAGGCTTAGCTCTGGCCATTGCAGCCACTTGAGGAGTGAACCAGTGGATGGAAGATCTTTCTTTTTGTTTCTCCTTCCCTCCCTAACTCTAACTTTCTAATTTTAAAAAATCTTTAAAAAAAAGTGTTAGTGGCCAATAAGAAGCTAAGTAGTTTTCTATATTGACTCTGAAACTAGGTACAATAATTTTTACAGATGGAGTCAAAGAATCATAGCAATCTCTCTTCCCTGTGTTAGAACCAGAAGGTTGGAGAAAAGGAATCAAGTGACATTATTTTGCAAAATAAAAGGATACATTTGATAACCAAGTGCTTTTCCAACTGAATTACCTGTGAGCTGTTTGAATCTGAAGATTGCTTGCTTAAGATGCTGAGTATGTTGGTTCATCAAAGCACTTTTGAATAAACTCATTTTTCTTTGGATCTTGTTATGGAAAGATTAAAGCTATGTATTCCTTAAACAATCTGCCAACTTTCTCCAAAAATGAAGACTGCAGAAAAGGTCTTACAATTCAGTAACACATATGTACTTGTTACCATATTAAGCAAAATCTAGTTCAATTTAACAGAATGATTCTTGCAATGCACAGTTTAAATGTATCCTTTTTACAAAAGAAGCTCCATTATGACTTAAAGGATTTTATCCTGGTTTGGCAAGCAGTATTTTTAAATATCTTGGAATTTTCTGGAAAAATAAACACCTTAAACCTTAGTTCCATTGACATATTTTTTTTAATCTTTCCCCCCACAGAACATTTCTAGAGCATAGAAATGACTCATAATTGTGTAGATATATTATATATTTCCTGACCATCAAAGCTCCCATGGAAATAAACCAATGTTTTAAACATGAATTTTATTTATTGAGCCACATTCAGAATATACCAAGTTAAGTGCAAACATTAGTACACCCCCTGGTGTGTGAGAAGCCTTGTTCCCAAACACTCATTATCTAGAATGACAGCAAAACAGGCTTAGACAGAGGATAATTAATATCCAGATGTTGATAACAAAAATGTTATGATGAGAAACTTTGCCAGCTATGGCTATAACAGTGTAAAGCAAAAACAGTTTAACTTGCTTGTCCTCCCTGTCCCCTTGGTTCCTGGGGCAGGATATAATGACGGCTGAGTGCCATCATCACTGAAAGGCATGGGGTCAGAAAAAGCAAGAGAAGCTGCAAGTTGGGGTCACTCATATCCCGGCGTCAATTGAAAGGAGAATTCCTTGGTGGCTTTTTCTTTTTTTACCCAGAGAATTATATGTGGGGGTTTCTTCCCACTTAAAATTAACATGTGCTATTGAAAAGTTATCTTAAATGAGATTTATGTTTACAACTCCCTGGAAAATATTGGTATTTAAATAAGCCATTGAAAAGAATGAAGTCATAAAAAACCAATGAAACAACTGCAAAATTGGAGTCCAAATGGAATCAAATTCACCCCTTTTTCAGTCAGTTTCTGTCAGGGCTGTGTTGGGCCATCAATCTAGTGAGGCCAACCAACCAAGACCACAAGGTCACTGCCACTTCCTCAGTGACCATGGCACAAGATGGAGGGCCTCGAGAAGCCATAGGCAAGCAGACTGATACGGTAAGCCACCTCGACTCGAGGCTGCTGTGGGAAAGCTAGGAAAAGTGCCCCTGAAACAAAGTTTTACATAACATTCTAAGGCAAAAATCAGGTTTTACCAAGAGAATGATCTCACATTCTACCCTTTTGCTGTTGATCTTAAAAGCCCAAAATGTAATGTTCAATGAAACCTCCAGCAGTCTCATAATTTCATAGCCATCGTGTCAACCAAATGTAAGAAAGGACAGGGGAGGAGGCCCAGTATTTGTCGAGCCTGAGTAAATCAGGAATGACTGAGGGTATTATCTGAATTGGAACAAAGAGGAAATTGGAATCCTGAAGAGACTCTAAATCAGATATTACAAAATCTTAGAGGTTCCACTTAGTTTGACATTTCCCCCCACATTCTGATGCTGAAATCTTGATCAGTTTCAGGTTAGCTCTGATCAGCATCCACCCACCTGATTTGTAGTGTGAACCCATGGTCTAGTCAAAAAGTTCACTCTGTTGTTTTCCTTTTGTTTTGAGTTAAACCCAATTCCTCTGTACAGTGGTTGCTTTACTGATGGGTGCTGTTCACCAGGAGGCTAAATAGTTTTCTGTATTGAATGACTCAGAAACTGGATACAAATGCATTTCATAAATGGTGCAAAAGAGCAAACATGGGAATCTTGTGCCTTCCAAGGCTGCATAAAACAACGGAAATCAGATTTTTTTTGTACCTGATACATCTGTTGGTCACCTAACACGTCACTTTCCTACTTCTTCAAATGCAGCAACTTTACCTGCAGGACTCTTGCATTTAGGCTGTTTTGAGGCTGTTCCGAGAAGGGCTAATAAGTACAGAGCGGAACCTCTGAGAATAGTATTCTAAGCTTTCCAATTACAGAACAGAATTCTTTAAGGAAGTCAACAGGAATCCAATTAAATTCAAATTAAAGTGGTGTATCTCAGATTACAGATCAACAGAAGTCAAGATCAATGAACAGAAAAAGAATCAATAACCCAGAGAGATCTGACTATGATGAGGACAAGATACCTACCGATTTAAAATGGCAATGAGAGGAAGTGGACAGAAAAGAAGGGGTGCTGTTTAAGTGGAGTGCTTCACCCTGGCAATGGATCTGCATGTTTCTTTGAGGATGAAATTCATTAGACACAAATGCAAACCATACACATTGGAGTCACACTCAGCTGAAAGGAGTATAAAGTTTTGGGATAACTAAACTGCTGCTCCCACTATGGAAATTCCAGGGTTTTCCTGCTATGCTTTCATCACCAGTTTTTATTTGATGGTGGCTTAGCCACTATCAAGACTTATTTGATGGTGGATTAGTCATTACCAGGAGTGCTTTACTAAGGAGAAGTAACATCTACGTCAACAACTCATAATTAAGGAGAAGATGTCAGCCACCTTGTTATCAGAGTTTATAGTAATACTTAAATCTGATGGTAAGGACTGAAGAATAAAAATCTAACCAATAAGATACTGGCATTTATAATTCTCCAGGAAAACCTATAAAGACAGTTTAAAAAAACAAGGAAGGCATCTATATAGTCATCTATGTGCAGAAATTTAGGAATACTGATGTAAAATTCCTACCAAAGGCTTTCTGTATTAATAGAGAGAAAATAAGCCCTGAATCGGGCAAAAACACTTTTTGCAACCCCTTTCCCTTTTGAGATGGCCAGATTCCTTATTAAGCTCTGTATCTCTGCCAACAGCAAGGTAAATGTTTACATCACATGGAGTCATTTAACAGAAACATGAAATACGACCTTTCATGGAACTCATTTAAATAATGCAAATAAGGTACTAATAGTTTTGTATTTCCTCCCTTGGGAGGAATTCACATGGCGTTAATGTTGTGGGGAGGAGGGCATGGGAAGAGAAATGCTTCATTAAAAAAAAAGTTGCCACAGTACTATTAAGCCCATATAAGAATTCTATATGCTTGTTGTTACTTTCTTCCACAGCTGTAACACTGATGACAAATGTCCACTTCATACAAACTTTTGCTGAATAACAGGGCACACTGTGAGATCGGGTGCAAGAGGGGCGGTTTATTATCTGGACGCAGGACAGAACTCAAAGAACAATGTGCATACATACAGAGCTCTGTTTTGTACACCTGTTCTCTCTTGCCTTTCCCATAAATGACAGGTAAGTCAGGTGTGTGTTGCTTCCTTTTAAAAATCCATTTCAGCTAGACTCATCAATGTTCTGATTGAGCAAGTGAATCATGCTGTGATTCAAAAGATCTTTCCTTCACATAAATCTATGGGCACACATTTAAAAATGATTTATTGTACATATTTGCATTTCTTAAGGCATGAACGATGGCATACAGATGGGGCAGGCTCCGAGAAGCATCACGTCTTCTTTGACAAGGCCAGCACAAGCACGTCACATTGACAGACACGCCTGAAGTCTGAGCTAACCCATCACTGCGGCCCAGGAGCTCCTACGATAGACGAGGGGGACGGTGCTTTCAGGCGATGGACCCAACTCGTGGTCTATGTTGTTTTAACTCCCTTGATCAGCTTTAAGCACCAGTTACAGTTTGTTTTCCATGACAAACTCTTCAGGCTTTGCGTTTTAAATCCTGCTCCTTTTATTCTGCTTTCCAAGGAGGGTGTGGATGTTTTATTTATTTATTTATTTTTAAGGAATATGGTTGCAGCAAAACTGAAAGGATCCAAATGTGGTTAGGGGCCTTGTCTAATGCACTTCTGAAAATCCATTATAAAGATGAAATAGAAAAGCAAATGGTAGGTTTTCAGTCGACCCAGAAACCACGTGTAGCTATAAGAAACATAATTGTGCATAGTTATTTATTCATTCATTCAGAGTGTGATATGTTGGCTATCTCTAGGTTCCCAGTTTACCAAAGAACAGGACTGTCGACTTTACTAAACCCAGGGTCCTTTCGGAGCTCCCAGTAGGTGTCGTTAGATACCCAGGCTTCTCTTTGATTGGCATCAATAACTTTTCTGTGGAAACATGGAAATCAACATTAGCCACACATCATATCCTTCAGATGTGTCTGCATAAGCCAGGGAATGTCTTATCTGCTAAGTACTGAAGACTTGACTAGAGAATTCACTTTCTCTTAAACATCTGCAGTGGAAGTAGGTAGGATTATGGGAAGAGACCTAAGGGAGAAACAAGTCATCTCTAGGGAGGGGCAGATGGTAAAGACCTGCAAACAAAACATATTCAGACAGTGTTTACTGAGGTCTCTGAACCTGCAACCACAAGGGCTTCTGTTTCACCCTGAGAGGAAAGGCAGGCACTGTGAGTGCCCCTAACACGTGCAGGGTGCGAGTCTTGGAGTGCATGGGGCACACGTTAGATAAGGCTGCATTTCTGTCCCAGGTATTCAGCAAAACAGCAGCCTTCAAGGCTGTGGGGTTACCCTGTGCTTTGTCTGGGCTCTGGAGGGTAACAGATGGATTTGGAGTCTACAGATAAATCTGTGTGATGTCTGTATAATCCTGCCATAATCACTTCCTATCACACCAGGGAGGGACAAAATCTGACACAGCTCTGCATGACAGAAACAAAGTTAAATCCTAGGGAAGCCAGGATGACCTTGTGGGCTGCAGGATCCGACCTAGTCTGAAGGCAACAGAGTGGGAGGGAGGTTCCACTATTCTAAAGGGTGTAGCTCAAGGACATGGAGGCTTCCAAGTGAGATCTTCACTCCCTTAATGCCCATGGAAAGAAAAGGGAGTGTAGAGAAGGATTTCTTCTCCTGGAGACTAATGTTTCATAGATGCCAAGTCTGATTCAATATATTTTACTTCCAAAAGCAATATTACCTAAATCACTTTCATTTTTCTACCCTCAAGGGTCCCTGGACCTCAAACTAGCTCCCATTTTCTTTTGACCTGCAGGTTCACATTGTTTGTGGCAACCACTTGCAAGACATGAGCCTGTGACAGCAATGGAGTGACTTACTTAAAAAATTTTGGTATGTGTTCGAGGTTGTTTTCTTCCATGTATCGTCTCCGAGATCTCTGGAGTTCTTCTACTCTTTGCTTCTCTGCTGCAGCAGCTTCTAAATTTCCTTCTTCCAAAAATCTAAGCAGGAAGCAGTTGATATTTTAATATTTTATCCTCCTTTCCGAAGGAAAAAAAAATGTCACAAGCATACAATCATATTCTAGCTACTATGAACCTAACACGCTGGACAGTAAATCCCAGTAATGTCCTGACAGCTCTACAGCAGGCCACATGACCTGTGTCCGTCCAGCTGTTCACATTTAGAGAACAGACACAGAAGGACTGTACACAGTTACACAGTGGTAGAAGTGCAAAGTAAATGGCTTGACCTGGAAGGCTTCTCTGTGCTGTCTGGGGTTCCAAAACTTCTAAGGATGATGCCAGGGTCCTGGACTAGACCAGCAGGAAGTTGTACGTGTGTTCCTTTTTCACACAGCCAAAAAGTTCATAGACTGGGGCGGGGCAGGGGAAGGGGTGGCAACTGGCTATTCTGATATTTTGACAGCAGATTGAGAGACAAAAAAGCTTTTTGATTTACTGGAGAGTAAAGTTGATTAAAAAAAAAAAGGTAACAGCTGGAAAAAATTATAGGCCTCAGAACAGGAAATTAATACAAGAAATTTAGAAAGGGAATGCTCAAGCAGATTTGCGTAACAGAAGCAGAGGCAACATTGAACTGAAAATGATAAACATTTCAAAATGAGAGCAAGCACAGAGTTATAATACGGTACAAACTGTAAAGGACGTTCATTGGATAAACCTGAAATGTCAAACAGTGAGACTGCATGTTCTTATGGGAGGAGGAGGATAGAGCATTGGGTAGCAGAACACTCAGGGCTCAGGACATGTAGGCAAATGACACATAAATTCACAAATACTAAGGGAAAAGCTGATCTTGGATAGAATTTGTATGGCATATAAAATTCTTGGGAAAAGTGAAATGAATTCCACAGGAAAGGACAACCTTCATGCAGAACTTGACAGTAATAATGATGATGATAAATAAGAATCAGAGGCTATTGAAGTTCCTGTATTTGGAAGACATCTCACCCACTGTGGGATCAAATCCAGGCTAGGCAAACTCAAAGTATGCTGGGGAAACTGTCTCTTCAGTATGAAAGATACTCCATAGTTAAAAACAGTGTTCTTCCCATCTTAGACAAGTGATTCCTAGAGACTAAAAAGGGTAGGGGGAGGCGGCAGGAGGGAGGTTGGCTTATAGGGGCCAAAACTGTGGCCATGCTAGGTGTTAGTGTTCTATAGCACAGTGGGAAAGCTCTAGTTCTTATCCATGTTTTGCAGAAAGAACTAGAAAAGAGAAGCTCAATGGCTCCAATCATAAAATAATATGATAAGGAGATGGAAATGCCAGCTACTTGATAAGTACGCTGTGTACAAGTGCTGAAACATTGCACTGTATTCAATAACATGTGCAAGTATTAATAAAAATTGAAAAAATATCTCCTATGTTATAGGACAGAAACAAAGCAGTCAGACACTGGATGAGGAGTGTTGTTGTCTATGGCAGAATTTATGACTTTGCAGACCTTTGGTAGCTTTTCAGGGAGGGAACTTTCTGCTAAGAACTATCTGTGTTACTGTGTATGTTGAGATACTCTTCTGTAATGATCATTCCAGCAATGCAGCTTTAGCTAGGGTAGAAAACTCAAATACTGCCGCGTGAATAAGGGAATCTGGGAAAGACGGAACACAAACGTGATAGCCAGAATCAACCTCAAATGGCTTTTAAAGACTCAGCCATGATCTGTTCCATATCTTCAATACAGTGCCATTCTCACCTTTGATCTGGCCGGAATCGGGCATCTGTTGGTGGGAGGAGCTCTTTCAGTACAGGATCTAACTCATTAAGTTCAATGGCAAACCTTGTGAAGCCATAGTAGAGCTCGTAGTTGGTTGGCATGGAACCTGCAATGAGACCATGGAAGCCCTATGAGCGCCCAAAGGCCCGCAGAACTGGAAGAAGCTGGCTATTCCAGTGCTTGATTACTACCCACATTAATGCCAATGGATTCTGCAAAATTTCTGCAAAATTGACTACATGTTGTTGAGTGGGCAATTTCATATTGATCAGAATGGATTGAATGATATTTAATAAAATACAGTCTTTTAGAAATTTTATTATTTTTTTTAATTGAAAGGCAGAGGGAGACAGAGATAAAACTTTTCATCTTCCATCAGTGGCTTACTTTTCAAATGCCCACAACAGCTGTTCCTGGGCTGGTCAAAGTAGAGAGCCCAGAACTCAATCTCCCAAGTGGGAGGTAGAGACCTTCCCAGGGAGAGCATAAACAGAAGCTGCTGGTCTGGGACACAGTCGCAGACTTCTGGCATGCAATGCAGGCATCCCAAGCAGTGTCTTTTTCTTAAAGAGTTATTTACTGGTTTGTTTGGAAAGTAGAGCAAGAGTGAAAGAAAGAGAGAGTGATCTCCCATCAGTTTCCAGATGGCTACCACAACCATGTGTGGGCCAGCCTAAAGCCAGGAGCCAGGAACTCCATAGGGTTTCCCACATAAGTAACAGAGACTCAAGCACTTGGGCCATCTTCCACTGCCTTTGTATGTATAACAGCAGGACGCTGGATTGTAAAAAGATCTGCCAAAGCTCCCACATTCCCCTCTCTTCTGTCCCAGGACCTGGGCCAGCCTCACCAGGTCTCCAGATGCACTTGGCAGAGGGGGCCACACCGCAGTAGAGTCCTTCGTGCCACTTCCCAAAGAGCCGATGTACCACCTTCCCCTCTTGATCCATCACGACTCCCTGGACTTCATTCACGTTAGAGTTCCAGTAATTCACCTGGAAAAATCAAGCCCCAATTCAGACACCCACTGATTTAATAAGGCCAACCCCTGTGATTTCCCTAAAAAAGTTTTATTAACTGGTGTCATTCATTTCCATGACTCCTTCTCAGAATGTTTGATGGGGAGGGCAGAGGACCTCTGGAATCAAGCCACACTCTGAAAACCCTGATGGTAATTTAGAGGTTATTATTTCCCCCGTTGGATCCTTGCCTTGAATCGTTCCCTGGTTCATGGATTTTCATGAATCTCAGCGGGCCAGGCTGCAGATTCAGTCTGTGAAAGTGACTGTCACAGTGCCCGTACATGAGGACCCTATTCCAGCTACACACCTCCCTGAGCTTGAGCAGTTGGTGGGAACCTACCAACCTCAATTTCGTGACCCCTCTTCCAGGCCAGACCCCAACTACAGAACACCTTAGAATTCCGTGTGCAAAAGGCTACGAGTTCTTTTGCAATTGGCATAGGGCTTTTCCCCCGACTAGGGTTGTCCCTTTCAGTGTCAAGGGGAGCCTAGGATGACTCTTCATCAGCAGGTGTGGACAGCTTGTTTCTGTGGGCTGAGTGCCCACAGTGGAATGCTTGAGGTCCCTGCAGTGAAGGAGAGCGTGAGAGGTGCATAGACAGCAGGAGAGGCTGGAGGCCGGGCCTGGCTTTCTGGCATCACTAGGTTTCCAGCTTAGACCTCAGAAGAATACAATCTGGCCCCTGGTGGTACGCTTCACTAAGGCCTATCTGTTCACCATTGTGGCAGAGTGGGTTAAGCTGCTGCCTGTGATGGTGGCATTCCTAATGGGTCTAGTTCAAGTCCTGACTGCTCCATTTTTGATTTAAGGTGATTGGGAAAGCAGTGAAAGATGGCTCAAGTACCTGGCCTTTGCAACTTATCTAGAAGCCTGAATGAGCCTCGTGGCTCCGGGCTTCTGTCAGTTCCAGTCCCCATCATTGTGCCTATTTGGGGAGTGAAGAAGCTCATTCTCTTTCCTTTTCTCTGTTTCCCCTCTCTTTGTAACTCTGCCTTTTATGTAAAATATATACATATTTTAAAAGGCCAGGTGTATTTGCTCTTGTTTTTTTTTTTAAGGCAGATTTGCAGAGAAGAGAGACAGAGAGATCTTCCATCTGCCAGTTCACTCCCCAAGTATCCACAACGACTGGAGCTGAGCCAATCCAAAGCCAAGTGCCAGGAACCTCTTCCAGGTCTCCCATGTGGGTGCAGGGTTCCAAGGCTTTGGTCCATGCTTTGACTGCTTTCCCAGCCCACAAAGAGGGAACTAGATGTAAAGTGGAGCAGCTGGGACTTGAACCTGCACCCATATGGGATCCCAGCATACGCAAGGTGAGGATTTAAGTCACTAGGCTTCTGTACTGGGCCCAGTCTAGGCCTATTTGTTAAAACAAAAAGGATAGAACATAATTGAATTGACAGCATCTGGCTTGATTTACATATTGCCGATGACGACACATATGCAGAAGAATCCCATCTGCACTCTTGCCCTTGGCTTTGCTAATGCTAAGAAGAGGCTGAAAGTGAAGTTTCTCATTTCTACAAAATCCAAAGTACGCATTCACTTCAGCTCTCAGAGTGAATGGTGATCCTGCCTCAATGTTAGCTTCCCCAGGAGACTGTAAGGAAAATCAATGAAAACATCTTGAAGTAAAAATAAAGATATTCAATCAAAATAAACATAATTTCCAGTGTGGCATAAAAATAAATACTAGACTTTTTTTTTCCCCGAAGATTTATATTCTTATTTGAAAGGAAGCAGAGACAGAGACAAAGAAACCTGGAAGTGCACCAGCCAAGAGTAGAACTAGCCTTCTGATAAGGGTTGCTAGCATTGCAAGCAGTGGCTTAGCCCTCTGCACCCAAATATTAGTTTTAAGATTCCAATATGCTATCTGTCTGCCATACTAGATTACTCATCAGCAGAAAGGGGCAGCAATAAGCACAGTGGCAATTCTGTGTGTTCCACTTTAGGCTAGAGAGACTTAGGGCAAGTTTTGTATACATTCTATTTTAAAAATCTTTTCTTGACAACAGAGAAAATGTTTTTGTTCAAAGTGTTTGGATCATAATAGTGGCAGGGTTGGATAAACACGGAGTGACTGGTAGCTATCATCTATCTACATGACTGCTCTATTCAAGTATCCTCAAATAATGGCAACTGCATTATAACGAATTTTCTAAAATAGGATCACTTGAATATGCAGTAATCAAACAGAATAAAAATAGAAAGCCAAATCAGAAAACTTGGAATAGTCAGGGAGTGTCTTCTGGAATTATCCTTAGGGAACTAGGAGGATAAAAACAAAGTCCTTTAAAAAGAAATGCATGTTGTTGTTGTTTTATGCTTTGAAATGATACCCTTTTGGACCTCCACACATTCAGAAACCTACATACCTTGAGCAGATCTACAGGTGGGTCCTGTTTTCTTACCTGAAAGTTTCTCATGGACCCATGGCACGGGGCAGACTGCCTTACTACTGTTCACGGTACTATTGTTCCATCTCTTCCTGAGGAAGCACTAGGCATTATTTTTCCTTTTCTGTTCAATGCTGTTATTTACCTTGACAAATGTAAGTTTGCAAATGCAAACACTGCTTTTGGTATTTCTAATGGTTATTTCTCCATAGTGTTCTATCCATCTTCTCCCACTGAGGATGTTGTGTATACAGGTGGTGACTTTATTCCACACATAATAGTCTCCATACCTGGTAAGGAACATAATGTTGGTGAACAGGAGTGAAGGTCATAAATGCATGCTACTGTTTCTATTAATGAGAATGTGCTTTGGCTGAGCCTTGTGTTTCCCTCTGCTTCCTCTCATTATTTTTGGAAAGCTTCCATATGGTCATAAATATTTGCAACACAACTCATTCATTCAAGGAATAGTTAAGTGCTTTCCCTGGAACTGTTGATAAATCCACAGAGTTAAATAGGATGTATTTCCTAATTTTTTAGAGCTATAAATATTGTAGAGGCAGTTGGATATGTAAACAAATACTTCAAGTCAAAGGACTGTCATGAATGTAAAATCAAAGTACCATGGGTGCACAGCAGAGACCTTTCTGGATTTCAGTGACAGGGCAAATATCCTAGAGGATGCTGGGTGAGATATAAGCTGGAATGATGAGTAAGCTCTCTGGGCTGAGAAAAGGACTGATAAAGCCCCAGGGAAAGCAGAGGTTGGGACATGGGGCCTCGGAGCAGAGCACTCCAGGGAGCATCCTTGTGGAGAGACAAGGCTGGGAAGGCACGAGGAGCAGAGCTGGGAAGGCTGCTGTGACACACCCCAGCATCTGGCCATTCCCTGCAGGTAATAGTCACTAAGGATGGATTCAAGATAGAAGAGAGGCATATAACACAAGATCGCTCTGAGCATGCTGTTTCATAATCCAAGACCAAGAATGTGTCTCATCAATTGGCAAAACACATGACTCTGATGGCAGAAATCAAACACAAACTCTTGGGAGTAAAGTTACAGAATTTCTGCTATGGAAGGAAAATTTTCAGATCACATTTAGGTTTGCACATTAAAGTGTATGTGCAAATAAAATATTATTTCAAAATAGAGTACTTCTATGTTTCTAAAAGAAAAGTATGAACTGGTATGATGGGAGGCTTTAATCTTTACCTAGAACCACTGTCTTCCCCATCAGTTTTTGAATACTGAAAGTTTGTCCTGGAGTGTGGAGGCACCTCCCTTTGCTAATCTTCCTCTATTTTCCACCCACTGATAAAGTGTGTTGGGACCACGGTATTAGTAAGTGGAGGATCTGGAGAGCTAAACTGGAAGCTTTCAGGCACAGGCTAAACTTCGTTTTTGTGGGATCCAATTTCAAAGCTTTGGTGGGGGGAACAAATCTTGGCCCACAGGGAATGAACTGTTGACATCTTGCAGAGTTTACAACACCCACTTCTGATTCAGAAAATAGAAAAGAACCCCAAGGAAGAGGAGAGTGACCTACTTTGGGAGCATGACATTCAGTGTCCCCACAGGCAGGATTTCCATCGACTTTCCCCAGAACTTGTTTTTCCATCTGATATCTAAACGACATAGGCAGAGGACAAGAAATGCACACTCCACAGCTGATCGTTTGTTCATTTGATCATTTGTAAAACCCAACACCTATATGACACTTCACAAATCACTTCTGTAACCAAAGTTAGTTCTGTATTGTTGACTTAACATGACAAGCACCTGCAGATGGCCAGCAGTAAAACAAAAAAAGTCTATCATCTATGTTTCTCCGTAGTCCATAATCCATATTTGTTAACTACGAGAAACCTGGAGTAACATATGTGCCAGCATGTACATGAGTGTTCATGTGTGTGTGTGTGTATTCACATAAACATACAAATAAGGCTTGATGATGCTTTGATACCTGATAGTAATATATGCTTCAGAAGACATTTACTGAGCTTTGATACGTGACAGCAAAGGATAGTAATAGACGGTTCAAAACGTTCACAGAAAACCAAATTAGAAGAAAACTTTATTTTGGTACAAAAAGCTTTGAAAGTCATGCACATGAGGGGAGGGACCTTTAACAAGATTATGGAAACTTCATATTCAAGGAAAAAATAGGCCTGGATTCCAAAATTTCTTGCACCTAAACACATTTTAATTTCATTTTCCATGAATTTTTTGAAGTTCTATGATTTGGGGAGAACAGATAAAGAAAAATCAAATAAAACCTCTAACTACAGATAAAAAAGATTTATAGGACAGTGGGATTAACTTAATGAACAGGTAGCCACACCAGTTGCTACGATAGAGCCAGGGGCCTCTGCACTTTATCTGACATGATGGCTTTATGATTTACCTGTGTATCTTTAATAACCACACAGGCCCGCTCTGATGAATTAGTGCTATCACCACACCATTTCTGTCTCTTGGTTAGAAGCCATACATGATTTATGGTTTTGTTTGTCAATAAATTATCCTCCCAGTGCTGCCTTTCACGTAAAGGAAATGCTCATAAAAAGAGCCTTTCTGTGCACAAGGGAGCACCATCTATTGAGCAGAGAACGGGTTAGACTTAATGGTCAACATTACAGGCATTTTCCTAAGGAGATTTCAGAAATTCCTCTCTAAGACAAACAAGCAAACATTCTGACTGTACTGTAAGCACAAACAAGTTGAGACTTTAATTAATTCACCTTTGATTTCCAGTGAACTATTATATATTTACGTAAGGTAAGGGTGCTTCAAAATATTACTGGAAATAGAACTAAAACATAAGTTAGTATGGGTGGGTATAAAAAGTTTTGGAAGAGTTCAAAGACATCAAACATGAACTAGTATCAAGAGGAGGAGAATGTTCACTGGCCCTGATCTGGTCAAGATACAGTGAATATGTCTATGATGGTATGTTGCCCCATAAATATGTACAAGTAAACTTTTTAATATTTTTTTAAAAAAGATTTATTTATTTGTAAAGTAGAGCTACATGGAGGAAAAAAGAAAGGGAAGGACAGGGAGGGAGAGAGGGAGAGAGCTAGAGGGAGAAAGAGAGAGAATTTTCCCATCATTGTTTCTCTCCCCATATGGCTGCAATAGACTGAAGCCAGGAACTACGAACTTTGTTACAGCCTCCCCCAGGGGTGGCAGGGACCCAAGCATTTGGATTATATTTTGCTGTCTTCCCAGGAGCATTAGTAGGAATTTGATTGAAGTGGAATAGCCAGGATTTGAACCAATACTCTGATATGGAATGCTAGAAGCTTAACCTGCTAGCCCCATAGAAGTAAAATGTTTTAAAAAGCAAATCCATGTCTAGTTTTTTCATACTATGTATTTTCCATGAAGTTTCTGAATACCTCCAATATAGATAAATGGACTTAGAACACTGAGTAGTGTCTTAGAAGCTCTCTTCAGGATGAAGCTCTCTTTGTACACTCACCCCTCAAGAAGCAGGAGGGCAGCAGTGCGGAGGATGAGGCACGGGAGGCTAGCTGGTGGCTCAGCGCTGGCCCAGGTGTTCCCCAGGCTTTGCTACCTACCTGACACCGTTTCATGCTTAGGAAACTGAGAAATGTAACTTTTCAATCTGAGTTCTACACCAATGAGCAACACGCTCTGAGTTTCAAAGGTAGATATCGAAGCTCAGTACAGCATGCCTTCCTTTGGAAGCTATAGCTTTTTTTCCCCCCATGGGGTCTTAACTTTCCCTTAAATCATAATTGAAAAATACAAACCTTGCCAAAACACAAAATTCTTTGATTCACAGTGACAGGCAGAAATGGGTGGATGATGGCTAACCTGGCGATTATAAAAAAGAACAAAAACAAAAAGAAAGCAATGATATCACTGTTTAAACTTCATGAACAATCATTGTATAATGTATATAAACAATGACAGCAATAATTCATTCATCTCTATTAGTAACTCTGTGAGTGGATCTTAAACTTCAATTGTTAAGAGGTGGGCATTTAGCACAGTGGTTAGGACGCTACTTGAGATGCCCAAACCCTGTGCTGCAGTGCCTGGGTTTTAGTTTTGGCCCAGATTTTTGCTGATGTGACCCTGGAAGGCTTCACTTGGTGGCTCAAGGGCTGGGTCCTCAATGTGCTCATGGGGGCCTGGACTGAGATTCTGGCTCCCAGTTTTGGTTTGGGCCAACCTTGGCTGTTGCAGAATTTGGAGAGTAAGCCAATGACAAACAGATCTGCTTTCTCTGTTTCCCTCCTTTTCAAATGGATAAAATAAAAAAAAAATCATTTAAGAGGCAGAGGAACACGAACACACACACACACACACACACACACACACACACACAATGGGAGAAAGAGGGGATAAGAGCGTACTTCCATTTACTAATTCACTTCTCAAGTGCCTGCAGTGGTCGGCCAAAACCAGAAGTCAAGAAACAACTCAGTCTCATATATGGGGGTAGGAATCCAGTTTCTTGAGTGAACACTACTGCCTCCCAGGGTCTACACTGGCAGGAAGCTGGAGTCGGGAAGCACCCAGGACCAAACCCAGGCACTCTGAAGTAGAATGTTGGCATCTTAATCACTAGGCTACATGGCCACTCCAATAACTCTTTAATGACTTCATGCTTTAACACAAGGGGCTTACACACATTTAGAGAGGTGGACAATGATGCTGATAAGCATGCTTCCTATTAACTGTTGTCACAGCTTGCCCTAGAGAGTTACCTGTTCTGAGAAAAATCGGAATCCCTTGTCTTCCCTAATGCACTCGTAAGTCTCCCCAAGGACTGGGTTGAATGGCTTACTTCCTGCTCTGAAATAGGTGGAGCAATATCCTGAAACTGCAAATGCAGCAACGAGAACCTGTTAAAACATTGAAGAAAGGAGACAAATATAGGACAGATTTCTGCCAGGTTGCTCATTGCTACTCCTCCAGATTTTAAACACCCTGGGTGGATGGGCATTGGGTGGCCAACTGTACTGTCTAGTATATGCACAGATGCTTCATCAATACAGAAGGAAAATAAAAAAATCAAAATCAGGTTAAAATATTCCCCAGCAGGTCGGTGGGGTCCAGTGTTCTTCACCCCTAAATTCACCCAATTTCCAGAGTTCAAAGGTTTCCTAAAATCAATTTCCTGAAATCAAGGGTTCTGATTTCAAAGAGTTCAAAGGTTTGAGACTTAGTTTATGGGCTATGTCATGTGCACAGTGCTTGCACCAAGTGGAAGAGGGCAGGGACTGTCAGGGCCTTTTGGAGCGAGGGCATCTTTCCAGCCAGTGGAGTCAGGGACAAAACATGACATCAAGTTCCTGAGACTACAGTCTTGAACAGATTGGCCATCTTGACATTCAAGATGAGCTGATAAGGTGAGGAAGGGCAGGCTTTTAAGTTCTAAGGAACATAACACCTTTATACAATAACTTTAGAGACAAACCCAGACAAAGGAGAAATCACAAAATGGGTTATGTAACAATCAAGCTATCTAGACCTTTTTGGCCCTGTTGATTTACGCCAGCAGACCAATTCCTCTCTTTCCTATGCAGGACGAATGTTAGGTAAAACCCCAATGTATCACCCTAATGAACCTGGCTCAGCCCCCTGAAGGGCTGCACAGCCCTATGGGGGCACAGTGGTGGCCTGTTACCATGCGCTCATATGGATCATCCGTCTCCGACGCCTTGTCCAGGAGCTCGCTGTACTCAATCTCCTCGCACAGATGCTGTAGAGTGTTGAGGGGCTCATTCAGCTCCACAGGCATGGAGACTTTAGACAGGTCTTTGCCAATGTTGTTTCTCAAGATATTCCACAGGTTAATGTTACTGGTGTCAGGACACGGAGCTGGTAGGCATGTTCGACGTCCGTTTCGGAAAGCTCCTCCCGTGAGCTCCCCATTCAAGACTGCAGGTGGCAGAATCACCATGACAAGACACTGTTATTCTGATTTCACAAAACTAAGGATAGAAAGACTCCTGTGCATAATTCGCGTTGTGATAGCATTTCTTGAGCCTTTGTGATACTGTCTTAAAGGTAAAGAGACTTAGCTCAATGCAAGGCTGCTTTCTAACCAATGCACAAAACACCAGTGTATGGGTTTTTGAAGAAGCTGTTAAATACATTCAACTACTATTTAAGAAAATACAATTATAAAAAAAAATAAGTCTGAAGGACTCAAACTTCTGCTTAGAGCAAGAGCTAATAAATTTTCACTGAAACATATCCCTAATGGATTTTTGCAACAATTTACATCAGCAGGGACGAGGAAATGCCTCCTCATTATATCAACCACGTTGTAATAAGTGATGCAGACAGTACAACTGGGAGGCTCAAATGATGCATACTTTGCCTGGATATATTGTCCGCCACACTGGTGTTGTCTTCAGAGATGTTGTCGCTCACATCACTGATGTATGACTCGTCATCTGAAGCCTGAGGAAGGAAACAACACAGGAGCTTGTTCCACTGAGGAAAGCTCAAAAAAGCCAATGACGGAAAAGTAGCAGCAGGGCGGGGTGGTTAAGACACCTGCATCCAGCAAGGTGGAGGAATCCACCATGGGGGGAGGGTTGTGGGAGGAGCGGGGGAAATCCAAGCACCTATAAAACTGTATCACATAATACAATGTTATTAACAATAATAAAAAAAAGACACCTGCATCCCATGTAGGTTGTTCTGCTCACACACAAAATTCTTACTTCCTTTTCTGAAAACTTTTTTAAAGTTAAACAACAATACACATATAAAACTATCAGTCGGATACTATGTGATGTTTCATTACATGTTTGCAACTTGTATTGTCCAATCGGTTAACTATTTTTATGCTTTCAAGCAGTTCACTTTTCTTATCAGTGAAAATATCTAAAAATCTATTTTCTAGCCTTATAAAGAGACAGAAATACGTTGTAAATTAGTATTAGCTGTCTTTACCCTACTATATAACAGAACCCCAGAACATTTTATTCCTATCTATCTCTAACAGTTTTCATCAATTAATCTTCCCCAAGGTCTCCTTCCCTATTTCTACCCCCAACCCCTAGTAACCACTCTTGAGGCCAGGTCCAGGGCCTTGGAGGAGGAGAGGGTGTGCCCACTTCCTGAAACCCATCTCACAGTTCACTGTCTGCAGGTACTAAATGGGCTGGCTGTGCAAAGCTAGACCTTGGAGTTGTCAAGGCAACCAAGGTGAGTTTGCCTGTGTCTCTCTGCTCAGACCAAGGCAGGCCATGCTCCCAGAATAAGACAAGATAGTATATTGAATATTCTCATTCAAGACACCTCTCTATTAGCCCAGCCACCTGGGTCCCCCTATGTCCTTCCCTATGGTCATGAAAAAAAAAAACCTAAGCCATTTCCCATAAAGCCAGTCTCCAGTCCACTTCTCTGCTTCTCCGTGGGGCAGTACTTTCTGGTCACTTTGCTTTGATTAAAGATTCTGTTACACTTGCCCTTTTTTCCTGGCTTTTTATTTCTATACTAAGCTGAGGAAAGAACCCACTGGGCTTTGCCAATAACAACTGTTACATTTCTAGCTTCTACTAAATCACCTATTTTTAAAGGTTCCATATGTGAGTGAGGTCATGTGTTATATGGTTTTCTCTGCTGGTCTTGTTTCACTTAACATAATGATCTGCATTTCTATCCTATGTTGCAAGTGACAAGACTTCATCCTATTGGCTTCTAATATTTATCATGTATAGGTACTGCATTTTCTTTATTCACTCATTAGTTGATGGACACTTAGACTGATTTCATTTCCTGGCCATTATGAACTGTGCTGCCGTAAACAGTGGAGGTCAGATATCTTTTTAATGCACAGATTTCGGTTTTCTTGGGTATGTACCCAAAAGTGGGATTGCTGGATCAGATGGTAGTTCTATTTGTAGCTGTCTGCGGATCCCCCACATTGTTTTGTGAGGTAACAGTGATGGCTCAAGTTGAGGGATGCTCACACTGAATTTCTGGCTCTCGGTTTCAGTCCCTGGCTTTGGTCCCCTGACTGTTGCAGGCATTTGGAGAATGAACCAGTGGATGGACTCTCTCTCCTCATCTCCCTCTCTTTCTCTCCCTTCATCTCTCCCTCCCCTCTCTCTGCTTATCTTTCTTAGCATCTTGTAAACAAAATACAAATTAATTAAAGCAGAGGCCTTGGTAGGAAATACATTTAGCACATATGCAACGAACCCCTGAGGGTCTTCCATGACCATGGCAAAATGTCAGCCTTCATAGAACCTATATTCTAGTGGGGGGAACTCACAACAAACAAGTGAAGCAGGTGAAATATATTTTGTTATTGCTTTTGCTTTTAGAGATTTATTTATTTTTTTATTGGAAAGCCAGATATACAGAGAGGAGGAAAGACAGAGAGGAAGATCTTCCAAATGCTGTTTCATCCCTATGCCATGCAATGGTTGGAGCTGAGCCAATTGAAGGCGAGAAGCCTGGAGTCTCCTCTGAATCTCCCACACAAGTTTAGGGTCCCAAGGCTTTGGTCCATCTTTGACTGCTTTCCCAGCCCTCAAGCAGGGAGCTGGACAGGAAGCAGGGTTGCTGGGATTAGAGCCGAAGCCCATATGGTAATCCAGCATGTGTAAAGTAAGGACTTTAGCCAGTAAGCTACCATGCCAGGCCCAGGAAAAACACATTTTGTTAGTGACAAATGGGAAGGGAAACAAAGGAGGGAAGAGGGACGTCACTAGGTCAGAGGTGGGACAGCAGCTCTGATTTTAACTAGGGTGGCCAGAATAAGCTTCCTTGCACATGACTTCTGAGCAAGGGACTGAAACAAGTGGCAGCTGAATGTGTGCACCTCTGGGGAAGTGCTGCACTTCCAGACAAGTGCAGAAGCCAGTGTCCTGGAGCAAGTGCAATGCAGAACATGCAGCAGAGCCTCCTCTGGAGCTGTTGTTAGGATTCACACACACACACACACACACACACACACACACCACACACACACACACACACACACACACACACACACACACACGGCAGTCTCACCAGCTGGGCCTTCCGAGTGTGTTAGTGTACAAGCTAGGGAAGCACTCTGTGGGGGCCTCACCATATGAGGGCTTAGTGACTGGGGACGATGAGCTTGGCCCAGTCAGCAGGTCATATCTGAAGGTTAAGAGCAATTGTGAGAACTCACAACGTTTGTCATTTGAGTTTATCTTCTGGTCGAGTGCCTTCAAATACTTAAGACTGATTGCTGTGTGAAAGAAGAGTTGTAACAGTGAGTTTAGGAAAACCTGTAAGACATCTTGCACAAGTACTAGGTGTGTAGTTATTTCTGACAAGAGCTGCAGGAGGGACACTACTCTTACTCCCACAAGGGGCACAAGGCATCTTTAGCTAAACAGACTTTCCAGAATCCTTCCTTTGGCTGTTGCAATGTTTAAGGAAGAGAGTGACATGAGGCTGCAGATAGCAGGAATTAGATTACAAGGGTCAGTGCGATAGATAAGGGGTTTCAATTGCTATCTTAGAGACACTGGAGAATACAGATGTGAACAGATTTGCCATAATTTGGAGGAGCTAATCAGGTTTCCCAGTAGACAATGGATCAGAAGGGGCAATAAGAGGCAGGAATGCCAATTATGGGACTGACATGGTAATCTAGGTGGGGAGAAATGGAAGATTAGAGTGAATCAGTGGCAATGAATCAACAAGAAAATATGGATCTGAGCAAATGCAGGTCATATAAACTTCAGAACCCAGTGAGTCCACTCTTGTCGGGTATTTGGTAATGACTGTGTGGACAGAAAGGCACATGGGCAATCTGACAGGAATGGGGAGATCGGTGTGTGTAGTTTAATTTGTCTGCTTGGAGCAGGGTGGTGTTGGTAATGAGCGAAAAGAGTGCGCTAAATCTTCAGTAAATCTTTTTCATTCTTTTGAGCCACAGAAACACATACACAGAGGCAGTGATGGAGAAGAGAGATGGAGAGACAGAGAGACAGAGAAGAGAGAGGGAGGGAAGGAGAGAGAGAGATGGAGAGTGGAGAAAGTATTCATATCCACCGTTTCACTTTCCAGATGCCTGCAGTCTCCTATATGGGTGCCAGGAACCCACTGATTTGAGCCATTATTATTGCCTCTAAGAGTCTGCATTTCGCAGGAAGTTGCAGTGAAGGTCCAGAGCTTGGGAACGGACCCAGGCACTCTGATGTGGGTTCTGGACTTGCTACTTTAGTAGGCTGAATGCCTGCTCTCAGTGATTTCCTCTGGGGACATGCTGAATTAGGGCTTTTATCAGAACCTCGGTGGCAATGTTTAGGAAAGGACTGCTCATTTGCATCTTAATCTGACTCTTCCAGACCTGCTCTGTCCTTCAGATCTGGACTTGACCATCCAACTGTCCACCAGATAACTCCACTAACAGGTCTGACAAACTCATCATGTCTCAAAGTGAACAATGCATCTCCAGGCTACCTTCACTCTCCTCATCCCTTTTTCTACAATTAAACTTATCCTTTCACAGGTAGTTGCATCATCCTTTGGCTTCGACTCATGTCATAATGCACTTCCCATTCTGCTCACTTTTTAAAAAAATTTTATTCATACATCTAAGGTAAAGGGAATATTGCGGGAGAAGCACCACCCAGTCTCCCTCCCACCCCAGGTCCCCAATGTGGGGCATGCTCTGAAATCCTTGCTCAAGTGGTTTTGATAGTTCACCAGTTATAAATTGCTGCCCTTCTATCCACTCCAGGCATGATGAGGCTGTTGAAGAATCCACTGATTGACATAGTCCATCATAGAGTCTCCATTTGACCTGTTCTGAGTCTGCCATTTCGATTGGAGAGATACCCAAAAGAAACTTTGAGATGTTCCCAGACCAGATTCTTGTATGTACTAGCAAGCACAGGGCCCACCACAGTCCATTGCCCCGATCAGCTGGTGGTTGCAATTACTGGGCTGGTTTTGTTTTCAGCCCCAACTTCCACTGGGACCAATGGGTGTTGCAGTCCAGCCTGGTTCCGCCCAGCACACACTTGGCCCTCGCATAAACCAGTGGGAGCTGCAACCCTGTCAGAGCGACCCACAATAACCCCCACCAGGCCTGCTCCTGCCCTGATTTGCCAGTATGCGTAGCAGGCTAGTCCAGTCTGCCTCATATCTCATTTGGCTCTCGTACATGTCAAAAGGTATTGAAGCTTAGTTCCATCCAACCAGCTCAACCATCCAGCCCTCAGAGATGTTGTTGAGTGCCTCTCTGTCTAGCCACCCCAGACCCTGTCCTAGTTTTTCCCTTCCCATGGGAGTGATAACCCAAGAGGGAGGAGCCAACTATTTCCCTCCCAGGTCTCTCTCACTCCCAGATTGTGCACTCTCCAGGTGGTTCTGCGGTTAGAATTGGTAGTATCAGCTCCCTGTGTCAGCTTCTGCTGTGGCTAAGCCCCAACAACCCTCACCCACTCTAATTATGTTTGCATCTGTAGGAATAATCTGCCCATCCTGGCTTTTCCCTGATCTAGTCCACATGAGGCGCACAGGTGTTGTAGCCCTGCCTAGTCTGGTCTGTCCCCATCCCGGCTCATGCTCTCCAGTGGGAGTAGCTGTCCTCTGCTCACTTCTGTATTCTCACGGTCACAGACAAGTGATTACTGTGTTCCTAGCTGGTAGGCTCAAGACCTTGGAAATGGGAAAGCAAAGATTCCTCTCTGAGAGTTACGACATCAGATGGTAAGCCAGAGCTTAGATAATATGAAGTGTGACTGAAGAAGGGTGAAGGACTGGTCAGCAGTGGGGGATGAGAAGAGAGAAAATTCTGGTAGCATGTCTCTGGCATGGGGGCCTCTAGAGGTGCATCCACAAGAACATGTGGCAGAACAGCATCACAATGGAGAGAGCATAGAGCTACAACATCTCATCTCTCCAAGTCCTAGTGTACACAATTCACTTCTGCTACTCCTGGCTGGCCGAGCAACCTCATGACTAGGATTAGACTTGCCATGCAGATTTGTCTATAGGAAAAGAGGTAAGAAGTGGCAAGTGTGATTAATTAAGCTAACACTCTGGCTCTTGAATGGGAGTCCAGAAATCTTTTAATGCATGCTTTGGGGTTTGAGAGGAGGCACGTACACACCTTGGTAGGCTGAGAAATTCAGCACCAATACAAGAATTCTATAGTATTTTCTCCTCTTTATAAAAGTGCTAAGCGTTACTCATTTCTTCTTTTGTATATTATTCTTGTTTCTGAAGTCATTTGTAATTGCAACCATCCCAAAACAGCTACTAATATTATTTATTTTCTATGCACATGGAAACAAATATAGCAACTGTTGCATTTATCCTTTTAAAAAAGAACATTATTTGAAAATCAGAGTTATAGAGATGGAAAGAGAGAGATGAGGAGAGAGAGAGTAGGAAAAAAGTAAAAGAGAAAGGGAAAAATGCTAGAGATCGTTCCATCCACTGATTTACTCCCTAGATGACTGCAAATGACCAGGGCTGGCCAGGTTAGTCAGGAGCCAGGAGCTTCTTCTGTGTATCCCCTTGGGAGGCAGGGGCCTAAGGACTTGGGCTATCTTCTGCTGCCTTTTCTAGGCCAATAACAGGGAGCTGAATTAGAAGTGGAACAGTCAGAACACAAACTGGTGCCCATATGAGGTGCCAGCACCACACATGTACCTGGTAAGTCATAATGTCAGGCCCCTCATTCTCTTCTTATTGGTAAAAATTCAGTACTGGGACAGGTGTTATGGTGCAGCGGATTAAGCTGCCTATTACAACGTCCATGAATTAGACTCCTGAGTGCTTCACTTCTTTTTTTTTTAAAGATTTATTTTTATTATTTTTTATTGGAAAGGCAAATATACAGAGAGGAGAGACAGAGAGGAAGATCTTCCGTCCGATGATTCACTCCCCAAGTGAGCGCAACGGCCGATACTATGCCGATCCGAAGCCAGGAGCCTCTTCCGGGTCTCCCACGCGGGTGCAGAGTCCCAAAGCTTTGGGCCGTCCTCGACTGCTTTCCCGGGCCACAGGCAGGGAGCTGGAAGGGAAGACAGGCTGCCGGGATTAGAACCGGCGCCTATATGGGATCCCGGGTGTGCAAGGCGAGGACCTTTAACCATTTGCACCACCGCGTCGGGCCCGAGTGCTTCACTTCTAAGCCAGTTCCCTGCTGATACACCCGGGAATGCAGTGGAGGATGACCCAAGTACTTGGACCCTCATACTCTGGTGGGAAAGCCCAATGGAACTGCAGGATCCTGTTATGGCCATTTGGGGAATGAACTAGTGAATGAAAGATTCCTCTCCCCCTCTCTCTTTATATATTTTGCTTCCCCACCCACCATTGCCCCAAGTCGGCCTTGCAAATAAATAAATAAGTATTTAACTATAGACTTGGCAATTCCAAAATGAAAAAAAAAATCCTAATCAGTTGTATAGCAAAAAGTTTGAGTGATTCCTTTATGCAAAGAAGACGAAAACAAAGATCATACACACACACACACACACACACACACACACACACACACACACACACTTGATTAAATTCCACTGAAAGAATGAATTTCTGAAACCTGATTAAGGAAGAGATTTCTTGTTTGTAAGATATTGCCAACTCTCATCAACATGAAGGGCAATCTAATAAAGATTTTGTGGTAGTCTGTGACTAACCTTCAAAAGAAAAATCACTCAACTAGATATAAATCTTTAAGCTCAAATTCATGCCCCTGGCTATGTATATGTATAAATGATGGTGTGTATGTGTGTGTGTGTGCGCGTGTGTGTGTGTGCGTGTGTGTGCGTGTGCATGTGTGTGTGTGCGTGTGTGTGCGTGTGTGTGTGTGTGTGTGTGTGTGTGCGCGTGTGTGTGTGGTGATTTTCTAATTCTCTCATTCTTTTCAATTATTACATAGACTCCTTCTATAAAGAATTCTGTCAAGAACCATTTGGTTTCCCTGAAATAGGAATGGAGGAAGAAAGTCAGAATAAGTGTTGGACTCTTTATTTATTACATTTTTACCTACAGTGTTAACTGCTCAGTAAATGGAAACCACCAGTATTGGCCTTGTTTAGTCTCTGCTGCAAGTTCTTCATCCAACTCTCATGCATAAACAAAAACCACGATCAGAAATTTCAATCTTACTTTCTTTAATTGAAGCCTCAAGTCAGAAGCACAGACTTGAGTCCTTACCTCATTCTCTGATGAGCTGGCAGAGAGGAGCACCTCTTGGGCATCGAAGAACTCCGACACAGACTCTGACATGGAGAGGCGGCTCTCATTGGCTACTTGCTGTGACAGGGGCAGACTGACATGGATTTGCTCACCACCCTAGAGAGCAGAGAAACATACAGTATAGTGGTTAGACTAGCTACTCTTTCCAATGAAGATGATTTCTACAGAAATCCATATCATGTGTAAAGAGTATTGATTACAATTAACTTCCTGTTGCTACTTAACAGTAACCAGTGCATAGGTTTTCTTTGTGTCTGAAGATTCAGAAGGACATGGTCAAAAGATGCCAATACCATGACTTGATTTTTAAGTCTATATTCAAATGGTATTAAATGGAATTTAACAGGTTAATCCCCTACTAATAGCCTGAATTCATTTTAGAGACAAGTGTATTTTCTTATTTTTAGGGTCCATCTTACTTGTCACATTCTAATTAGTATACTTAGTCTTCAGAAACATTTGTAGAAACTACCAGGGAATAATGAGATTAATTTTTGAGACAACATGTAATTTATTCTCAATAATATCATATATTTTAACCTGTGAAACATATGCTTAGAGAAATGAACCTTATTTCAAACTGGATTTTTATTCAATGAGTGATGAATATAGTTTTTAAGGAAGCCATTTAAATTATAATCGAAAAAATATGTAAAAATAGCATATAATAAAAAAGCATAAAATGCATACTTCAGGTTGAAAAGAGGACTCAATTGAGAATCATTAAATTGCCTTCAACCAACAAATATTAAAAGCGCTCCTCAAAACCATATTTCTAGGCAGCTGCCTGAACTGAAGTGTCATCAGAGATCAGGAGGCCCAAGAACGTGCACGGACAGAGGGTGGGTAATACACCATAAATTATCTTACGGCATTACTTTTTAAGCAGTTAGATGGTAGAACCTGCACTGGAAGACTTCTAATAAAATGCAAATTCTTATTGCAAATATGATCTCAAAATTTGTTAAAACTCTCACTGTGTTCATGTTTCACTATCTATTAAGCTCAGAAATTACTGCTGAAAAGTGTAAATTCTCATGACTACAAAAGAATTTCTACCAAAGAAAATGAATGGAACTACACACTCAAGTTTAGTCCCAATGCTGAATGTTCTATTCTTTTATCATTTCTTCAATTAAAAAAAATAATAACAGCACTTATCTCAGAGGGTAGTTGAGAATGTCAAATGAGGTAACAACGTAAATGATAGCACAATGCCTAACACATGGTAAATCTTCACTTGACACATGTGAACTATTAAATATTATCATCATCAGTGGTAACTGTAGCAGTATTGGTATTACCTTCCCAGGTTAGGCAACTTCTCTTGTTGGGGCTTTCAAAACAAACCTTAAGAACACTTTTATTTAGTAATTTCACTTTTATTTAGCAATTTCTCATATCACAGCGGCTTTTTTTTTTAGCATTTGTTGGTCATGTGGTGATCATAAACACAGACAGACACAGAAAATTAACAAGCTGGAATAGGCATGCAAACTAAACGTTCAGTGGCATCAGATTGGTACAAAAATAAATAAGGACACTGATCACCAAGAATAAATTATGTCAAGCTCATGAACATCGTTTACTACAAAGAACATGGGACCATCAATCATACGTGTTTATGAAAGGCATCTTATTAAGCATGAAGGAACTGTACAGAAATAAATAAAAACATGTAGGAGATTTATATGCTGTGTGATAGGTACACTACTTCTGTTAAAAATGAGTCTTACCTCATCAGGGCTAGGAATAATATTTACACTGACAACCTGATCACAAATGATGGACTCTGAATGTATTCTGTTCAAGCGACTCCTCAGTTCAGCATTCTGGTTCAGTGCCTTAAAATAACAGAAATGCATTTTAAATTTCAAATTAAAAAGCAAGCACCAACAGAAAAAGTACAGAGATAGACAACAAAGTCTCTAGGGTTCTGAGCTCTAACTTCTGAAATCATCACGAGCCAGATCCTATTGGTAAAAAGGAAACAGAAGGCTCAGAGTTTACACATTAACTCTGCTGTAGTAAAGCAGATCACCACTTGGTAGAATGGTGAGCTAAGAGGTAAGGGACTTCATTAAAAAACTCACAGAATTATCTCTCTCTCCGAGTCAGGCCACCCTTGCCCAGTCTACCACCACATATATATTACTTTCACAGCCTGGGATGAAGGCTGCCAAACTTTCAATTTTTGTTGTTGTTGTGGTACCTGAAATTTGATATTCATTCAAAGCTCAGTATTATTTGAGAGCTGAATGAACAAAGAGTTGACAAAAATCATATTTTAGTCTGGATAAAGAAAAAACACTGTATTTTATTTTCCAGGAGGATATAATGTACATGACAGTACAACAGAACTAACTCAAGTGCAGACCAGAAGGTAGCCTCATGGGACAGCATAGACAATGAACACAGCAATAACGGACATAATACTGTAGTAAGCTACCCCCAAGATATTTACACCACACTACTTTCAACACAGCTTACCATGAGTAAAACACTACATGCTATGACATAGTTTAGTAAGTGCATCAATTGCACTTACTTCAAGAATGAACAGGCTTACACAGGCATGGCCTCCCTGCAGGGACTATGCACTAAAGTACAGTAAATCACCAGAGAGTGCACATCACTTTGAGCCATGTGGTCATCATACAGGTGTGGCTGACTGGAATTAAATCAAGTAAAAGACCTGTGTGAGGACGAGGTCCAGTGAAAGATAAAACAAGATCTTTCCTTCCCACTAAAATCAGCAAGAAGATTTTAGAGTAGAAGATAAATGTCAAGGTGTATAAATAGTTAATGGATGCAATGGTCAGAACATACCCAAGTAGAATATCACAATTACAGCTTTGCACCTGTTGAAACACTCAGGGTAAGTGCTAATGTCTACATGAGCACTTATCAGGGAGCACCAAGAAGCCCCCTGACTTTCCCTCTCAATCGAGGTTCACACTTCTTCCCTGTCATCTACCAACTTTTGCTTTTTATGGAGAAATGTCACAGTGTTTGGTTTTTGTTGAAAGCTTTCAGAACCAATTATGTAAAATATGTCAAATAACACCCTTGGCCTGTCAAGTACAGATGAACTAACAGTGGATTCAGTTCCTACAGTCATTACATTTGGGGATAGCATCAAGTAATGTCTCTGGTTTTCTGAGAAAATGAGGAAGTGTTAGCAAAAATGGCAATCACACTTTCAATGAATAAACTATGTGCCTCAAAGGAAGAATCCTAACAACTTTTCATCCTGCAAATGGGCTCAGGGTTATTTTTCTTGGGGCAAAATGTCACTTAGAATGTGAAGAAAAACTACTGCATTCCTCTTACTCTCTGTCACTATTAAAGACAGGTTTATTTTGTTCTTTCATCATTTCTCTGCCTACAAGGAGACAGAAAACTCTTTTGGCCACTCAAGTATTTGGAATCAGATACATTTTCTAGCCGGAAAGAGACTGCCTTATGGTCAGATGTTTAATGGTTTTAATTGCAGCGTGGGTCTTGACCTGAGGCTTTTGTACGAGCCTCTACTAATGGTTCGCCAAGAGTGGCCATGCCTTCTGGAACTGCATTAATAGAAAAAAAACCCACAGAAACTCAAGGCCAAATATCACTAATGGTCTTCTTTAGGGTGGGAATGTCACACACAGCTTTGCCATTTATTGGAGAAATTAGAGAACTCTTTGCCCTGTATTTAAAAATGTATGAAATTCTCATTCATGCTCTCATCTAATATTCGCTAAATGATCCTGCCCACAAGTATATGTGAAGGGCTCACAAGATAATCTCTAGTCATTCATTATCAATAGAAAATATGCTAAATGTTTCAAAAAAAATATTGAACACAGTTTTATGCCTTTTCTTGGATGCAATGTGAAAAATAAAATTATCTTGTCCTAGGTTAGAAAATCAGTTCTCCTAACATCAAGGCTGTGTGTTCCTGACCACCTTTCTGGGCTTCTGTTTTTGAAGTGAAAACAAGAGGGATTACCCATGTAACCTTTGAAATCCTCTCCAAACTTGGCTGAAACACTAGATATACAAATAAACTTCTGATACTTAATGTTATGATTAAAGGCTGGTTTCTATCATCTACAAAGTTTACTCCGAGATTCCACAGGATGTCCTTAATTCTGCCGGTGCTGTTCTCTTCTCAACTGGGTTGCAAAACAGTATCATGAGACCAAAGAAGAAAAATCTGGATTATTTTTCAGTGAGATGTAGAAAATAGTCATTTTTTTGGTTTCTTTAAAAAAAAAACAACTTCAAAACTATTTTTTTTTAAATTATTGCTAATACTTGAAGCCAAGACTCTGTTCTGGTATATCACTACTGGGAAAACATTACACTTTCCTGGCAAAATATTTATATCATGCCAAAAACAGAACTGGGTCTGATTCTATGTAAGTATAAGATAATCAGAGTTGAAATGAAAGCAGAACACTTAACTCTGCTTCAGTTTTTTCACACACATGTTTAGCATGTTGAATTCAAAGCTTAAATTTGAAAGAAATAATTGATCAGTAATATATATGCAGTGGTAGAAAAAGTTGTTGCCACAGGCCCCATGGAAATTAACACTGTTCCCACTACGGCAATCCCAGGGTGGCAGTGTAAGCAGGCCCCAGCATGCAGCAGCCCCCTCCCACAAGTCCTGTCCAGGCTGCCTCCTTCTTTTGCCTTGAGCAAATAAACTGTTTCTTGAAGTGTAATACACAACCAAGTGCTGTGAGCTTTGTTGGGTAGCATTCACAACATTTATTGTTGTCCTTCCCTGGCGGAATGACTGAGAAGTTCAGGTGTGGCAATTAACATGAAAGGGTCCAGAAGACAACAGATGGAATGTTGGGATCACACCCAAGGACAGTGAACCATGGCAAAGCAAGGAAAATGGAGGCAGATTACCAGTCAACTGGCCAGCCACTAAGCCAGAAAAGCTAACGGAACTTGTCAGTAGTATCATCACTCTTTTAGTGGCACAGAGGCCCACAGGCATCCTGGGAAGAAGTACCATGAATCCAGGCACTGTCTCTAGGCTTTCTAAAACCTATCCATAAAGCATGCTTCTTGGGTCCAGCGTGGTAACCTAGTGGCTAAAGCCCTCGGCTTGCTCTCGCTGAGATCTCATATGGGCGCTGGATCTGATCTTGGCTGCCTCGTTTCCCGTCCAGCTCCCTGCTTGTGGCCTGCAAAAGCAGTTGAGGACGGCCCAGACCCTTGGGACACCGTGCCACATGCGAGACCCAGAGGAAGCTCCTGGCTCTGTCTTCGGATCTGTGGAGTTCCAGCCATTGTGCCACTTAGGGAGTGAATCAGCTGAGGGAAGATCTTCCTCTCTCTCTACTCTCTGTGTATCTGACTTTCCAATAAAAATAAATAGTAAAATCTTTTATTAAAACAAAGCATGCTTCTTTCCCCTGGCTTTGAGTCCCTTTCCGTCTCTAAAACAAGTTACCAAGTAGAAGGCCAGAGCCAGAATAGTCTTCACTTCTTAGAAATAAGACAATGAGAGTATACCGTAGATGGGGTTGGACTCAGGCACAAATATTTTGCTAAATGGAACTGTGGGCTCCTAGTAGAACACATGGATGACTGATGGCTGATGAACAATATGAATCACATGGCAAGATGGAGCTATTGCAAATTACAACCCTTAGGCTAAAGTTAAAACTAGTCCCAAGCAGATGAGAAAATAAGTCTGAAAATCCTGAGTCTCACTCTAAAATAATTTTGCTCAATGAAAAAAAATAGTATTACAATATTTTGGGAAAAACAAAAACTAGATGAAAAAGCTAAAAATTCATATTGCCCTACCCACCTGATGGTAGATTGCATTTCTAGCCTCTTCCCTAAGCACACCTTCTAACCTCATGTCTGCCTCTTAGTTTCTGCATACATGTATTTATTATATGTTGCAAACTTTTCAAAAACATAATTTAAAGCTGCATAATAAGCCATTATTTCCTGTTACTTTATAGTTAGGCTATTATTGATTTTTTAGTAGTGTTAATGATGCTATAATTAACATTCATGTGCATTAACTATTTTCTATATTTAGCATTAGTTTCCTAGACAAGGGATATCACCTAGGGACTTACACAAAGTCTAAAACTTTGATGATTTTTAATACATATTTCTGTGAACAGGTATTTAGCCTAGTGGTTAAGATACCCACATCGCACATGAGAGAACCTGGATTTGATTCCTGTCTTGAACTCCTAACTTCAGCTTCCTTTCAACAAAGGTCTTGGGAAGCAGCAATGATGGCTCACTCAGTTATACCCTGTCACCCAAACGAGATGCGTGGTTCCTAGCTTCAGTCCCAACCAACCCTTGGCAATTATTAGCAGCTGAAGAGTGAATTAATACATGGGAATTCTCTCTGTGACTCTCTCTGTTTCTCAAATAAGCAATTTTTAAAACTAACTACTGCTAAAGTATGTTCAAAATACAACTTAAAATTGCTGGACAGTTTAAAAATGACATAAATAATTCAAAGAAGAAAAATTTGGCACACAACAAACGTTCACTGGTCAAATGTTCACTCCATTCCTGTGGAGTTCGGGAACAAATACACTTGGGAATTTTACTTCATCACAGAATATGTATTCTGTGTATGTGACATGTTGTGCACAGCAGGGATGACAGATGCCACAAGTGTGTTTTTAATTATCCTCCCATGTGCCTTACGCTCATGCTTTGCTTACAACCCCACATATAGCACATTTCATGGATTCACAGATACCCATGTCCCCTCACAGTTGGCCCCTCTGAAGCAAGGCAGCAGTGGAATTGACAGCAGTGCTTCTTCATTTCCTCCTTGACTTCGGTCTTCCAGATACAACATTAAACAGATTATGAAATTACACTGTCATAAAGTCAGGGATGAGGGAAAGATGTCACATACAACTGTCTATGGGCTTCAGTCTAACATCCATTGTGTCTCTCAGATGTGAAAGTTAATTTAATTTTCATGAGAGTAAACAGCAGAATTATGCATGTGCTTGTGTATACCCAGACCAAGTAAAAAATATGACTCCAGAAGAGGAATTCATTTGGGGCTAGCATGGTAGTACAGAACACTATGGGATCACCTGCAACTCCTGCATCTCTTACTGGAGCATGGATTCAAGTTCTGACTGCTTTGTCTTTGACCCTGTACCCTTCTAACATGCCTGGGAAAGCAGCAATTGGCGGCCTATCACTGTGCCTTTGTCACCCATGTGGGAGACTCAGATGGAGTTCCTGGCTCTTGGCCTATGCCTGGACCAGTCCTGCCATTTACGACCATTTGGGGAGTGAACCAGTGGATGCAAATGCTCTTCCTTTCTCTCTGTTACCCTGCCATTCAAATGAAGTTAAACATAAAATCTTTTTTAAAAGAAGAGGAATTTGTTTGACTCTATTTTTGCCAATTTTACTCGCCTAAGGAAGGTAACAATTTATGCTCAGCATGTAGTTAAAAATGCTTATTTCATATGTTTTGTGCCTTCTAAATAGAACAATGGTGTTTCCTGAGTTCAAATTAACATACTAAAAAGTATGAGCATATCTCGAGACAGATATCAAAATAGGGCTTCTCAATTATTTGGTTGTATCCTGTTATCCATCCTCTTTCTTAGTTCACCCTTAATACTCTTGTGTTCTTCATGGCAGCCCTGATAACACTGATCAACTTCCATTGTGACTGAAAATGCAGAAATCATCAGCATCTACACTTCCACTCATATCCATACCTTTCTCTTTAGCCCACAACAGGTCTTAGGGAAAGAACTATCATATATCCAACTGTCCAGGTAATGGGCATGGTCTTATCTTGAATGTCATCTTATCTCTTCTTAACATTCAGCTCATTTCCAAGTCATGCTAATTCTCCTTGCTCTAGAGACTTTAAAATATAGCTCCTCTCGCCAATGCTGGCACTTCTTTCATTTTGGAATAGTATCTTAAGTATCACACATGATAGTCTCAAATAATCTTGAATACTGCAGATGTCTGTACAAGTAATTTTGCCTTAAATCCAACACTGCTCATCCTACACCATACAAATCTTTCAAATATGCAGGAATATGCAGCGACATATTTAGAGCATTATCCTTCAGATAAAATTCTCCAAGCTCGTTATCATTGCTGGGACAAATCTAAACTCTTTGTGTGTTCCCTGATGCGTTGGTTGCCACCCTCTGAATTCTTCCTTGTTCATTTCATTTCATTATTAACCTCCCATTATCAATGACCTACAATTCTAGAGAAACTTCTTTGGTGATCTAACCATGAGATCATAATATACAAGAGAAGAGTAAACCACGGGCTGGCATTGTGGTGCAGTCCAGTCACTACTTGTTAGACCAGCATTTCACACTGAAGTGGCAGCTCATACCCTGGCTTCTCTGCCTCTTATCCAGCTCCCTGGTAAGAGCCACCGGGAATGTACCAGCGACAGACCCAAGTGCTTGGGCCCCTGTTACACATTTAAGACATCTGGATAGGAGTCCAGGTTTCTGGCTTTGGCCTGGTCCAGTCTTGGATTTTGTGGTCATTTGGGAAATGAACTGGTAGATGGAAAACTTCTGTAGTTCTCTCTACCTTTCAAATGCTAAGTCTTAAAAAAAAGAGAAAGGAAAGAAAGGCATAAACTGTCAGGAAACTTAACTCAAGCATTTTCACCTCTTTTTAAGATCAGTTTAGTGTTTAACAAAAATAAGCGTGCACAAAATAGAACCAACAAAAAAAACAAATAAATCAGCAAGAATCTATTGAAACTCTAGCTATAGATGCAAATAAATGTTTTCACATAAGATGGGAGTATTTTAAGCCAAATGCTGCAGAGCAAACATAATTTCGTTTATTTCACTTTGTCATCCTAACATCAGGTCCTTCTTCATTTAATCAGCTGCTGTTTGTTCAGTCTGAACTATGGTTCTGTTCTCAGCTCAGGGATGGCCCTGCAGATCTGCACCATCATGTGACACTAACAACAGGCAGTGTGGTTCACTCAACTGTTCCTGGGTGAGCACTTATCTCCCTAATCAGATCATGAGCTTCCTGGGAACTTGCCCAGGGCCACACTGATGGTGCTGTGCCACACCTCACACAACAACAACATCTGGCACACAGCTGAAAATATGAGTGGGCAAATGCATAAGAACTGCTTTAAAGTTTCTCTTCACAATTATTTTTAAATTTCACCTGAAGTTCAAACACAGACCTTTTGTTACCTTTATCTTACCAACAAGCAGATGGAAGCAAGCAAGCAAGCAAGCAACACATTTTCTTATTTGTCTCAGTACAGACTTGACTTCTCTCAATAGGCCTCCAATGTTAAACAATTTATAAAGAAAAACACTGCAACATTTGGGGGCCAAGTAAGTATTTTATATGTTTATGACTTTTGCATGTTTATGTGAACATTATTTTGATCTTCTGAATTATGGCCTTTTCAGAATGATTTGGAGGACCAATTAGCACCCACTGGGTATTCAGCTGCTACAAGCCATGGGCAGTGGCCAGGGAAAGCCATTCCGTGTTCACATAGGAGCCCTCTGCAGATGGTCCCACAGTTGCCGCGGTTACTGCTCATGCTCTGGAGGCCCTAGCACCAGGAGCAGCTTGTGCACCTCAGTGGGCAGTGTTTTACAGTGAATGCAGAAAGTATGGTCCAGAAAACAGCCGTTTTGCAGCATGAGACTTAACACTGAAGATACGCCAACAGATCAGGTACATACAACAGGAGACAGTTTAAATCTAATTTTAGGGGTTGAAGAGTGCCACTCAAGCAGGAGCTGATCCACATGGAGTACCACTTACCCAGGATTTGCTTGCTCCTTCACTCTGATCCAAGGCACCAGGAAGTGAACAATATTTTATATGAACACTCAGTTTTCACAAACAATCATAGAACAACATTGAATTCTCAAATTGTTTAACTAAGGGCATTTCTAGAACTTACTGACTTCAAAAGAAGTACTCAGTGTAAAAAAGTTACCGTGCAGGATTAAAAGATTTTAATCAGAACATTTAACACTGATTTTCCAGGGGTCTTCAAAAAGTTCATGGAGGGGAGAGTCTTTCACCTGGCACACACTGCAGTAGCTTGGTGTGACACCCAATTCCTGCCCTGGCTCATGACTTTAGCTTCTTGTTGATGTGTATGCCAGGAGGCAGCAGGTAATGGATCACCAGGAGGCTCCAGTGGATGGCTTGCCTACCACCCATTGGGAGACACAGACTGAGTTCCTGTTTCCTGACTTTGCTCCCCGCCATTCAGGAACCATTGTGGATATTTGGGGAGTGAACCAGTGCATAGGAGTTTTCTATCTCCCTCTCTGACTATCTTGTAAACCAGTACTTTTTTAAAAAAAAAGTTCACAAAAATCTATATAATGAAAAAATTATGAATAAAATTCAAAAAACTTAGATTTACTTATTTATTTGAAGTGTAGGTACAAAGAAAAGGAAAAATAGAAAAAGAGAAAGAGGGAGATGTTTCATCCACTGGTTCATTCCCTAATTGGCTGCAAAGACCAGGGCTGGGGCAGGTTGAAGTCAGGAACTTTCTCTGAGTCTCCCATGTGGGTGCAGGTGCCCAATCATCTGGGCCTTCTTCTGTTGTTTTCCCAGGCCATAAGCAGAGAGCTTCATTGGAAGTGGTGCATCTAGAATATGAACAACTGCCAAGACAGCATCCACGCATTGCAGGCAGCACTTTAACCCAATGCACCACAACAGCCCTTCAAAACTTTTCACATCAACAAAAATTTGTCCTTAATTTCATTTTCCATGAACTTTTTGAGATACTCTGCTTCTTAGGAATTTGACTGGTATTAATAAGATCTACTGTGCAAAATCTTAAGATAGAGAAGTCTAGCTTCAGGAAACCTAATGAAGGAAGAAAATCTTAAGACTACACATTAGAAATGAAAAGCAAGAGGTAATAGTAATCACCAATTTTCAACAGATTCAACAATATTTTAAGTGAGAAAAATAAGTGTGGCAGGTTTAGCTTTTTCTCCATTAGCAACTGCACAATATATATTCTGGAACTTCTTCTGAAAGTATGAATCATAAATCAATGCATATTTCTTTCTGAACTATCAGGGCTATGCCTTAAAAATCACATCATGCTGTTAAATATTCAACAACAATGATACATAACTGACAAGCGTGCAAGCCAATTTTATTTTGTTTGTTTCTCTTGACATCTTGTAAAAGAAAAGTAATACAATCTAATGCTGACACCTCAACATCTTGGGATAATGTCAGGGGAATGTGCTGCCCCCTGGACTGAGTGTGCCATGGGCATCTCTTGACTCTCAGGGTTGGGAAGGTGTCATGCACGTGAAAACAAACGCCCTCCCTCGCTTACCTGTGACAGTGACTGTCGGAGCCGGGCCATCTGCGAGCTGTGGCCAGTGCTGTGGTCCTGCTCAGCAACCATCTGCTTCAGCTTCTCTTTCTCTATAGCTATGCTATTAAACGCAGACTTCAAAAGGGAGTGCACTGGGTGGGTGGGGAGAAAAGTGAAAAGTAGATGTTAAAATATATCTACAATGAACATACACAATTTTAAACTCCTTAGGGCTTTAACTCAGACCCTGACATTTTCTACAAAGGTTATGGTACAGTTTAACTAAAGGTCAGCATCAATATAGGGTCTATCAGAGTACCTACATTTAAAAACAAACATGGAAATGGTGATTAACCAATAGGAAAATCATTAGCATTTCATACAGCAGAAGCCAACAACATTTGGAAACTGAAGATGAAATACAGATACCAAGCGACAGTATTTAGAAATGAATTTGTAATTCCTGGAGAGTAAAGGGACAATTTTTTAAAAAATATATTTATTTGTTGCCTTATTGATCTAAAAGAGTGAGAAAGAGACAGACAGAGATACAAGGAATGGGAGTAGAAGCAAGGAGAGATGCAGTGCTGGTTCTCTATCAAATGGTCACAATGACTGGGTCAGCCAACCCAGAAGCAGCAAGTCCATGTGGGTCTCCTGAGTGGGGGGCAGGAGCCCAGGCACTTGTGCCATCTTCCACTGCACTACCAGGTACACAGCAGAGAGCTGGATCAGAAGCAGAGTAGGTGGAGTTAGAACGGACACTCACATGGGATGTCAGTGACACAAGCAGTAGCTTAACCCACAGTTTCACAACACCAACCCTGATAGAAAAGTTTTACTTGCAATATTTGGTGATAATAATTGAGCAGCTCTGTTAGCATGAAATTTCATAAAAAAAATTTTTTACAACCACCCCAAAACATCAGGTGCTCAGAAAAGGAGCATTTTATGAGTTCTGCCAGCATAAACAGGCAGCCAGTCTCCATGCTCTGAGTTCTCCCAGACAGGGCACGGTTTGGTTTTAAGAGTAGCACTTACCATTTTGGAATATGACTGTTGTTTTTAGCCCTGTGGAACTGTGCTCTACTTTTCTAACTGTTGAATTATGGTTAGTGGTGAATGAAGCCTATAAATATCGAGCGGATTAAAATTATATCTGCAAAAATTGATGAAGACCTGAGGATGGAAGAGGAGTATTTGGGGGTGAAGATGGAAGTGGGGGAAATGCGACTGTCTTCTTGGAATTATATCTGTGGAATGCAGGAGATAAGTAATAATAATGATCATGATGGCATTTGTATTAGTTCCTCAGCCAGGAATGTCTTAATGTCAAAATTATTTTTGTTTAAAAGCAACAATAAAAAAACCACTTCCACCCTCATTTCCTACATACCTCAAATCTGAGGTAATTTTTAACATAGAACTTCAAAAAGGGTGAATTTCCAGCTCCTACTTTGACAATAACAGAGCTTTTACAGTATGCAAAGTCATCTAAAATAGATGTTTCTTTCAATGAGAAAGGTTATTTTTAAAAGTGGGAAATTTCCACATAAAACACAGTGGCCTGAATTAAGTAAGAAAAAGAGCAGGATCACAAGGGATTCACAGTGTATTGATGGGTGTGCTGCATTCCACCATCATCAAGGGAAAGGTAATAATGTGGTAACTGGAATATATTAACACTGCTGCAAGTTCCAAAGTGGACTCCTCCACTGTGTACAATCCTTTCTACCGAATTCATGCAGGAGTCACAGCCCAATAGCTCCCTCCTCCTTGTTTCCCAGCCTAGAAAAATGTGTGTGTTTGTTGGAAACACACAGTTTCAACAGAGACTTTAAACCTGTTGAGATTTGGATTACCGGAAAGCTTCAGGATTGCAAGCAAACACACCAGGCTCTCGTGGGGTTGCCTTCAGACACATCTCTTTCTCGTTACCAGAGATCTTTCAGCTCACACAGCTGTTGCATGAACCTTCCTTCCCCCAGAAGTCAAAGTCACAGGCTGAAGATCTCTGCTGCCAGAGAGGCCAACACTAGTGTGCTCATCGAACAACATAATTAGCATCCAGTTAGGACATGCAAGGAGAAGGGATTTGCTAGGAATATGAAGGCAAGTGAGGAAGAGTTGGTCCTATAGAAGATCAACTGACAAATTAGAGGGAAAGCAGGGAAATTTCGTTTAGCTTTGTTGCTGTTAGGATTATGGAGGTGGTTGATTATCTTCTCACTAACTACTTGGTATCTGACAGTTAAAAGATTACCAGGGTAAGATGAGATTTAGTTCAGAAGACAAAGGCTATTGACAGACACCAGAGGACTCAGTGTGTGTATTTTTTCTTTAGCAACTAGGCTGTGAAGTATTTTAAGGACACTGAGATAGTCCAGTTACCACATGTTTTTAAGAGTATTATATGGGCCCCATGAGAGCCCAGTGGCTAAACTCCTCACCTTGCATCTGCCAGAGTCCCATATGGGTACCAGTTCATATCTCAGCTGCTCCACTTCCCATCCAGCTCCTTGCTTGTAGCCTGGCAAAGTAGTAGATGATGGCCCAGGGCCTTGGGACCCTGTACCCACATGGGAATCCTAGAGGAGGCTCCCAGCTCCTGGCTCAGCTCTGGCTATTGCAGCCTCCAGAGGAGTGAACAGTGGATACAAGATCTTTCTCTCTGTCTCTATTTCTCTCTGTAAATCTGCCTTTCCAATAAAAAAATAATAAATCTTTGGGTCCAGCATGGTAGCCTAGCGGCTGAAGTCCTTGTCTTATACACACTGAGATCCCACATGGGCACCGGTTCATGTCCTGACAGACCCACTTCCCATCCAGCTCCCTGTTTGTGGCCTGGGAAAGCAGTTGAGGATGACCCAAAGCCTTGGGACCTTGCACCCGCATGCATGACCCAGAAGAAGCTCTGGGCTTCAGATTGGCGCAGCTCCTGCCATTGCGGCCACTTGGGGAGTGAATTAACGAATGGAAGATCTTCCTCTCTCTCTCTCCTTATCTCTGTATATTTAACTTTACAGTAAAAATAAATAAATCTTTAAAAAATAATAAATCTTAAAAAAAAAACAATGTTTTATAGCCCATTATCTAGTAGTTCCAGGGGAAACAAAGGTTATGGATCAATACTATGAGTGTTAGCATCTGAAAACAAAACAATGTATTCTCTCTTTCCAGAAGATTTTAAAAGGAAATGCCAGGAAAAAAATTATTATCTTAAGTAAAAAACAAACAAACCAACAAACAAACAAGCAAAAACAAAAAACAAAGAACCTTTGCTGGCTACAAATAAAGCACTATGGCAGGAAGTGGGTGTTAATTGAGGGCCAAGTTTCTTGTTACAAAGAAAGACTGAACTACTTTCTGTGGCTGATACTAACAGTTGAACCACAAGCATTATTTAATTTTAAGAGAGAGAGATCCCATTTGGATTCATTCTCTAAATGCCCATAATAGCTGGGGCTCAAGTTGAGAATCAGCAACACAATTAAAGCTTTCCATGGTGGTGAGCCTCATTCTTTGAGCCAACCCTGCTGTTTCCCAGGGATTGCATTAGCAGAAAGCTGAAGTTAGCAGGCAAAGCTCAGCATAGAGCCCGGCCGCTCCAATATGGCACAAAGGCTTCTTAACTGCTAGGCCAAATGCCCGCCCAACGTGTTCAGTAGTTTCCCATTCCTCACATCAGAATCGGCCTGCAATGCCTTAGTCGGTAGGACAGACTGGAGTACACGGGAGGTGATGCTGTATTATTAGTTGTACTGTTGACCTTGAATAGGATTAGACTCTTCTTTCCTGTAGTTTCCTGAATTCCTATGCATCAGGAACAGGCAGAGGGGCCTGGATGAAGTCTTTCAGCTCTCTGGCCAATGTGCTACGTATGTGAGGGATGCCACCTTGGCTCTCTGAATCCAGCCCAGCCTCCAGACAAGTCTCAATGAGGAATTAATTGATCAAGAGCACATGGTGTTGAAGCTTAGCTGCTTAGCTCAGCCCTGCCTAAGCATAATTGTGACATATACTATGATAAAATACAGCAATGAGTATGGTTTCATAACATAGATTAAAACAGAATAATTTTTCCCTGCTGAGGATAAGCAATAAATATGTACTCCATGGTAACTGACATCAACAAAAAAGATGTTAAACAGTAATACTTTACTAGACCACTTTTTTGTCCTTTTTCTTCCATCCATCCCATGATACTTCTTTTATTATTATTATTATTATGTGAACCTGTGATATATGTTTTTCCTAACAGACAGGCATCATGTCCTGCTCTGTTTCTATTTTTTTTAATGAACTCCAACCAGTTAATAAAAACCATTTAACTCTTCACCATTACCATCCAGATAAAAGAATAAAGAAAAAGCTCTCATCAAAGAAGAGAACTTCTTTAAAGGGCATATTACATTGGTTGTTACCTTTCTGTGCAATTAGACAAAACTCCTCCTGCAGCTTTGTGTAATCTGTTGAACTTTCCAGAGGGTCAGTGAGGTGGCTGGGGGGCGTCTGAAATTCAATATCTGCACAAAGATTGGGGTTGGAGGAATGCAAGCGCACAGGTGACATGGTAGCGCTGAAAGGAACCTGCAAGAGGAAGAAAGAAATTATTCAAGAGCAAGGTGCATTGTTCCACCTTCCCCCACAACGACAAGGCCTCTGCTATTCTTCAAAATAATAGCTTCCTTTCTGATGACACCCTCAAAGACACTCAGTACTCATTTATTTTGCAGGTGGTTGGGGGTGGGAAGAGGGCTTCTCACATTCCAAAGGTGATTTAGAACTGCCTGTCTTCAGTTACAGAGCAAAGTGACTAAAAATGACAGGAAGAAAAGGCATAATCTCAGGTAAGCTTCAACTGTGAACTTGCACTTGACCTCAAAAGTATCTGGCAGGAACAGCACAATGAATTTGGCTGGAGGTTGACTGTCTGCTACAAAATCTAAGTAGTAGGTCAGAAGGTTATTTATACTCACTTCTCTCTGAGCCTAGAGCAGAATGTTACTAAAGAGGCTAAAAAACATCAAGATATATTATATATAATATATATATAAAATTGTTATACATAATGATTTACTCCATAGTCATTAGATAAAGCTAAAATTACATTTAATAGTAAATTCGATAATGGTTTCATTATTTTTGAAATTGATTTGTTAATATATATATTAGAAATTGAACATATATTATGCAAGTCGTGGTAGTTTATATTTATTTGCTAAAGACAACTGTTATGAAATGGTTCATGAACTAGGTAAGAGTAAAAAATTTGGGGGGGTTATTATTTTATAATACAGTTTCATAGGTTCTGGGATTTCCCTTACTCCCTAATACCTCTTCAAGTCTCCCCACCCCACTAATTTCCCCTATATCATTACAATAGTATAGTCCTTCATAATCACTCACAATATTTTAACAAAATGTTGAAAAAGTCATATTACTATAGATGTTTCCAAATGGCTGCAGGTGTTCTCTGTCCAGGCTGGATCTGGATGAGGTTTGTGACGTCTAGAAGCAAAGCACCCTTTCCTCTCTTTTAAAGAATGCTCTGCCTAAGCATGATGGATGCTGTCAGCCAGGCATTCTGGACCACGGAAACTGCAATTTCCCTTGCAAATCAGATTGCCGGTAACCTGCCCCTTATTCTGATTGTGCAGATATAAACTGTCTGCAAGAACGATACTCTTGGACTCCACTTACAAGCTGTTCTGTGTCACGGAAAAGGTGATTCGCATCCCCCAGCTACCTAACAGGAAATATTCAGTAGGAGGAAGGCCAACACCTTGTCTAATGTATAAGCATGGCAGAGTCACTGCTTTTTCACTCCTATTATTAGCTCCAAACTTCCTAAGAGGTTTGCTGGATGAGAAGAGGTGGGTGGCGAAGAGGTTCTCTCACTCTATGAATATGAAGAACAGATGGAAGGAAGGGAGAGGAAGAATCGCAGGCTGGCCTGGGCTGCAAGGAGAGAGTAGGCGAGACCCAATCAAGGCTCTGCTGATGGTGCTCTGCCCTGGCAGGGAGCTGTTTACCTCAGGAAACATCCTGGGCTTACTGAAGAACAAAGCGAATAAAGCTTTCCCCCCTAAATTCAGCTAAGTGAAATGTCTCAATCTTTGTCATCCAAGGCATTTGGTATGAGGAGTTACGAAGGAGCTGCGTCCACGCTTTGTGGGTATCTCAGCTACTTTGGGCTGGGAGTTTCAACAGCTTGTTTATAATACCAGCTTCAAAACTGACAACTAATCCAAACTGGAGATAGAAAGGTAGCAAATAAGCCACTTGACTTAATGCGGCACTGGCATTCAATCACTTGCTGGAATCCTATCTGGGGATCCTTATAATAACAATGGCCCCAGTCCTTTCTGGGATGCCTTGCAAAGGACAGGGTTCTATCAAAGAACAATTAAACACATAGAGGGAATTCTGACCTTTACAGTGGTCATGATGAATGGAGGAAGAGCAATCAACCCATAGTCCTCCAGGTGGAGCACAGGGAATCCAGGGGAAAGAAAGGGGAGATGAAGAGGTCACAGGGAGATACTGGGAGCTGAAGATGTGGGGAGACGGATTTTTCAGATTTAAGGATGAGGCTTCTTAAGAAGAGGAACCAGAAAAACATTGAGAAAAAGGAATGTGGTGCTTGCTAATGGGAGATGTGATGCGCAGAGCATTCTGGTGCAGAGTTAGGTGGGCACTGAGGAGCCCTCAGCACACTTGGGACCATACTCCTCATGAGCACAGTCTTCTCTGCTGGGTGGCGAAGAGCAGGTGGAGCTGGGGACAGGCTGCCCAGAAGATGTGGGAGGCCACTGTGCAATGACAACCAGCATCCTGCAGGCACCCAGAGCTGTCCCAGAGACCACGACCTCCATTAATCATTGCAGCCAGAAGCTAAGACAAACTCAAGTGATAAATTCATTTTTCTGAGCATAACAGTGGGAACCACTGCAATCAATGAAATATGGCAGAGTCATCCATGTCAGGGAAGTTGGTGAGGGGCAGATGGGCCAGGTCAGGTCCTCATCATTGGTGCTGTGTTTTGAGGTGGAGTCATAGTTACAGATAATGGAAGGTTTAGCGTAGCCAGCATCCCCATCTCTCCCAACTCCCATTTATTCCTGAATATGTTACTAGATGTTACCAGCAGCCTTTCTAATCAGAGGCAAGTTATTCTTATAACTTGTAAGGTCACACATGTATCAGGAGGTAGACATAAATGCTTTCTTGTTTACAAGGCTTGTTTTCCTTCTTCTATGCATATTTCCAGTTTTTAAAACATAAGTCTATCCTACTCAAATAGGAATTAATCTCAGTTCTATTATATTCTGAGTATGTACCTGCAATTTAAAAATTGGCCAAGGAGAAATGCAATCACTTCCTTGCATGCTATTTTAGAAGCAAACTATTTAAGGCAACATCAGTATTTCCATAGTTGGCTGACCCTTCCTTGCCAAGACTGAACTATATCTCTATCAGTTGGATTTCTTAATTTTGCAAATGAAAAAAAATCAGGTTTAAGAGTAGTTCAACTGACTCTGTCTATATCTGCTGTCAGAATCTATTACATCAGGGTCCAGAACCTCATTCACCTGCATTTGAGTCATTGATTATGAAAGCAATTTCCATAGTTTATTTAAATGTTCACAAAACTGTGAGTTTAAGAGTAAGGTCTCTAATACATTCCACGTCACTGGTTCACTTCATAATCAGAAGCAATTCTGTTTCTAAACCATTTCAACTAAACATTCAGAAATAAAGCAAGAGTCAGTTCTTTATTATGAAGGAAAACGCCAGCAGTATCTGTCTTCCTATAACACAATCAAAACCATTTCACAGTTTTCAGCAATTCCACTCTTAAAATATGGCTATCTTTAGCTGCAGCAAAACTTCATTAATCTGGGAAATATTATTAAATAGATAAAAAATGAACATAATTTCTTTTTTTTTTAAAGATTTATTTTTATTATTTTTTATTGGAAAGGCAGATATACAGAGAGGAGAGACAGAGAGGAAGATCTTCCGTCCGATGATTCACTCCCCAAGTGAGCGCAACGGGCCGATGCTATGCCGGTCCGAAGCCAGGAGCCTCTTCCGGGTCTCCCGCGCGGGTGCAGGGTCCCAAAGCCTTGGGCCGTCCTCGACTGCTTTCCCAGGCCACAGGCAGGGAGCTGGAAGGGAAGCGGGGCTGCCGGGATTAGAACCAGCGCCCATATGGGATCCCGGGCGTGCGAGGCGAGGACTTAACCACTTGCGCCACCGCGCCGGGCCCAAAATGAACATAATTTCAATGAGCTTTATAATCTGTATTTTAGAAATTTCAAAGGATTTTAAGGCTGGTGGTATGGCTTAGCAGGTTGAGCCACTGCCTGTGATGACAGCATCCCATGTGGGTGTAGGCTTGTGTCCCACCTGCGCCACTTCCAATTCAGTTCACTGCAAACAGTCAGGGGAAAGCAAGAGTAGATGGCCAGGTGTTTGGGTCTCTGAAGCCCATATGGGAGTCTCAGATGAAGTTCCTGTCTTCTGCCTTCCACCTGGCCCCATCCTGACTGCTATGGTCATCTGGGGAATAAACCACTAGGTGGAAAATCTCTGTCTCTCTGTAATTCTTTCAAATAAGAAAATCTTTTAAAAATTCACAATATTTCATGATTAAGCAAATATTAATTTGTTTTTATCCAGTAGGATTCTTGTGCTTGTATTTTCTATTGTAAATTATACGTGAACAATTTACTATTACATGTCTTATCTACCTCAATATGGCATATACTTCCCTTACATTTACTGTAATTTTCTTTCAAAAAAAATCTCTACATATGGATTAAACATCATCTCACTCTGTACGTTTTAAAAAAAAGTTTTCCACATTAAGCTTGCTTGCTGATTTTTATGATAATATTCTTTCTGGAAAACAATTTTCTCTTGCTAAGTGTAATTTGGGTAGCCATTTAGAGATGACATCAAAATTCACCTTTTCTTACCCTCTCATTTCTTTATTCTCACATCCTTTTCAAATAGTCACATTGCTACAAAAAAAAGCACAATTTATGTCTGTAGTAACATGACTTTTCTTAGAAAAGCAATAATTAGCATGGTAAAAAAGAAACCAATAAAAAATAAAAATCAACAATATCATTTAAGAAAACTCCACACTACAAGTTTCTGTACTCGGTTTTACAAACTTAAATTACTTCTTGCACTGATTATGTCATATTCTCCATCGCACAAACAGATACCTGTGTTGGACTCCTGCCATGCAAAAACAGCCAGAGAACATGCGAAAGCTATGCCGACAGGAGTGGGCTATAGATGATGCCACCACACACGAGTGACACCATCAAAGTAGGGGAGGTTACCCTGGTACACAGTTTCTCATTCTTATTACTCTTCCACTTGAGATTGAAATCCACTCACTGTTGTAGCCACAGCTGCTGCTAGCCTCTGTCGGCGCCGAGTTGTGCTGAACTGGCCCTTCGCAGGTGTCCCTTCCTGACAGTGAATGGGAGAAGAGACACATGGGATGGGAAGGGCGAGAATGGGATGTGGAAGGATGAAAGATAATCAGAAAAAGAGAGGGAGATTTTTTAAATGCAGTGTTTTGACTTTTTAAAATAAGTTTGCATAATGCTATACAAGAACATTTGGACTGTGAAATGTTTGCTGTTCTCATTGTAAGTAATTCAACTGTCGCTTTGCTGACTATAATCCCATCCCAAAGAAGATGGAAAACTAAGAATTCATGTATAGCCTGTGACTTCAAGGCAAGATAATATGTATATCGCTTTATTCATGTTATGTCATGTTATAGGAAGTCAAAAGTTATTCAGTTATTGGTAGCAAAAGAAAAAATACATTCAGGCAAAACTGATTAAATGATACCTGAGGCTAAAATAACAGGCTATAAGAAGAGCCTCCTGTCAGCCAGGTACAATGTTTAACTAACAAGAAAACAACAAAGTGAAGGGTGCTAGGATTCTTATATCTTCAATCTCTTAGCATGAAACTTGCTCTCGTGGACTCAGTGAGAAAACGTGCAGGGTTTATTTCAAGTTACAAAATATTCTAAAGTGAAAGTCAGTTAATATGAGACAAGAAAAAAAAACATCTTCAGTGGATCCCTATTACAGATAATATCTATAAAAATCAACTATGACAAACCAAAAGCACCTAGTCCATCTACTGATGTACACCAAATGCAAGTAAAAAAATTCTAGGATTTTCTTTCATTCCTTCCCTCCTTTTCATGGATGGGACTAAGGGAAAATGATATTTCCTTCTAAACAACTGATTTTGTTTGTATCTGAAAGACCCCAAATATTAAGAGACTGCAGCCAATAATTTAATTTCCAGCAGATGAGGGACTTACTTTCTTAGCATCATCTAACAGTCCAAATTGGCAAAAAAAAAAAAAAAAAAACCTCCTTTAGTTTTTTTTAGGAAAATAGAAATAATTTTAATTCTCTTTAATAATTTTAATTCTCTTTAAAATTTCCAAATTATGTTCATATTTTCTCTAATTTTCACCAACCTGCATTCATCTTTGTATGTCTGCTGCATTCACACATACAAGTAAATAATGTTTCACACAAATTTTTTTATGCAAAATTCCTTTCTGCTCAGTGTGGAAAAAGTGAAAACTTACTTTCACCTTTTGGTATAATTTGAACAACTGAGATATCATGTCATTTACCTGTAATATGTATTATCTATTCTTACTTCTCTCCCCAATATTTAGGGATCTAGCACTTAAATCATGCTATTGGCAACTTAAGAAACCTGGCAGGTCTTTCTTCATCAGCAAATCTTTCAAAATTTACATTCATCTTTTTTCTCCTCTACCTTGTTTAGAGAACAACCAAATTGCAATTAAACAATAATATTGAGAATCTTCTTAGAACCAACATGTCTGAAGTTTGGGAGATAGGAAATTGTTTTTCTAAAAGGTAATCTTCATAGAACCTTCTAGGAAAAATGCCTACTGCTTAGGTGACATAGCCGACCTGATACCTTCTAGTAGATATACAGCCACACAGATCCAGAAATCTGTATTTGCACTTAAATCTATAGCACAAACTAATTAGTGTAAAAGTAAGGAATCAAACATCCAGTATAACATGCACTTCATTTTTACTTTTCTGAGACCTATTTTTAAAAATTATTAATTCTATTTCAAGATGACAATTATCACAGAAGGCTGAATACAGTTTAGCTATACAACATCAGTAACAACAGCACTAATGATCACCAGTCATCTGGGTCCCATCAGGACCCACTGGAGTGCTAAAAAATCTACAGTGGAGGGGATAAGAAAGGAGCTATCACAACTTCAAAGTTGCTTCAAAGAGCTGCATTGATTACAATCAGGAACAGTGATTAAAGCAGTTACCGATTTATGGGCTCAAAAGTTGACATCATTCCACAGAATTCCTGTGATCAAACATTTAAAATTGGAAGGGAAAATCGAGAGTTGGAGTGGGAGGAGGTAGTTGGTATGTTTACTCCCACCAGGGCAAAAATAAATGCTGTGCTGTGGCCTTCTGTAAACACGACACTGATGAGGACACATAATTATGTTGGTCACAGTCACATTCCTAGTCACATGGGAGTCTAGAAGGAACCTGAAATAACTTCCAAGTAATACAGAGTGAGCTTGCTAAGAGCTCCTATGGGTTTGGGCACTCACAAAAGATCAAATAGTAAAAATTCTGCATCATTTGCTCTACAGCACCTTTTGTTTTTGCCCAGGAAGTGGTGAAGTTTCTTTGAGAGTAATCAATAATTTACTACTCCATAAATGTAATAGAGCATATCAAGAAAATGAGAGGTAAAACTCAAACGATCATTTCAATAAATGCAGAAGAAGCATTCACACAATTGAACACATATTAAAACTGTGAACAGATTATTTATAGAAGAACCATATCTCAAGAAAATAAAGGCACTATATGACAGACTCACAGCCAACATCATATTGAATGGGGAAAAACTGAAAGCATTTTCTCTAAGTTTTGGTACCAGACACGGATGAACACTATCAATGTTTTTACTCAATATAGTACCAAAAATTTTAGCTAGAACAATTCAGTAAGAGCAAGAAACAAAGACATGCACTTAGGAAAGGAAGAATTCAAACCATTTCTGCTTATCAATAACATGAACCTATGTAAGAAAAACTTGTCATGCTACTAACAAGCTCTTGAACTCACAAGTATACTCAATGATGTTGTATGACATAATCAGCCCCCAAATCTGTAGCATTTTTACACAACAACAATGAAATTGCCAAAAAAAGAAAAGATAAAAGCAATCTCATTAAAAACAGCTAAAAGAAAAAAAATCCTTTAATACATATAAGCAAAGATGTGAAAAACACATACAATGAAAAACTCAATTAATGAGCAAAGTATTTGAACAAACATTTCTTAAAAGAATATAAATGGCTAGGCAATACCTGAAAAAGGATGAAAATCTAAAGTACAAGTGGGTATCATAGTATTCAGAGCAATGGCTATTAACAACAACAACAAACCATGCTGGCGAGGAGGTGGAGAAATTGGAGTCCCTACATAGGAGGGGTTTCAAAAACATAGGAGGAAGCAGAGAGTAGTACAGCTATTATGAAAGAGAGTATGGAGCTCGTCAAGAAACGAAAAATACAGGTTTACATGTGGCTCAGGAGTTAAGCTGCCACATGGGTGCCCACAGTCCCCTGGGAGAGCCTAAGTCCCAGCTGCTCCATTTCTGACTTAGCATTCTGCTAAAGTCTGAACTCAGTTTTCAGATGGCCCAGGCTTGGTACTAGCGCATTTGCTGAGTGAACCAGGGAAACGATCTCTATTTCACTGGGCTTTTTCTTTTATCGACCTTTCTCTCTCTCTCCTGTGCCTATTGAAAATAACTAAAAAATTTAAAAAGAAACCAAAAATAAATTTACCCTATGACCCAGCTATACTTTTTCTGAGTGCCTATCAAATGGAAATGAAATTAGTGTATGGAAGAGGCAGCTGCACTGCACCATTATTCACAACAGTCCAGATATGGAATTGACTTAGGTGACCATCTACAGATTAATAAAGAAAGATGATATATACACAGAGTGGAAAATTCTTTCATAAAAAAAAAATGAAATCCTGACATTGGTAACAAAGTAGATGGAAATGGAGATCATTATTATATTATCAAATATTATGTGAAATATGTCAGATATGGAAAGACAAATATCACTTGTTCTCTCTGATATGAGATAGCTAAAAATATGTGCACATATATACATGTATTTGATGCAAATTTAAAATAGTGGGAATGGAGGGGGAAAAGGTGAATAATGGGTACCATGACATCTTAAAGAGCCAGAAGACAGGATCTGGTAGGCTCCAGAAACAAAACCAACCAAAGAAAATAAGAAGATAGTAAAGCTGGTTGCCCAGCATGGTCAATTTCTGCTGTGTTTATGTGCTGAAGCACCTCAGTGTAATCCTAAAAATATGAAAAGTATAACATGTTGATTCAAATTTTTAAAAATATATAAATCTGAAAAAGAATTACAAAGGCCATTTGTCACGCTTTGGTTAAATACAAAGTAAAACAGCATAAGTAAAAATTTAAAAACAAACCAACATGAATGAATATGCTTCTTCCTTTCATATATTCTCTTGTAGTTTCTAGAAAAGTCTTCACAACCTCTCTACATATTTCAAAGCACAATCTGAGCCTAGAGAGCATCCACCTTTACATTTTGCTTCCATCAGACAAAAGGGTGTCCTCTGGGGACTCTGGTGGCTTCCTGGCCACAGCAGGGAGCCAGGGGGCACTGGCTGAGAGTCAGGGACAAACAAACTACTCAAGGAACAGGAACAGGAATCTGCTCAGTGGCACATGTGAAAAACAAAGATTGAGATAATATCTGATAATGTTGGCCTGTTTCAGTTTATTTGGGAGACTTGCTCTTTCATTTATTAAGAAGGTTCTTTTTAAAATTATTATTGCTAGCTCTGAGAACCACAGACTGTGTGCTTTAAAAAGATACAAACACAAACACAAAACCAGATAATCTGGAGCATAAACAAAACTGCCAAGAACCATTTTAGGTAATTTTCTTGTGAAATCATGGTCCTTATAGAATTAACTTTATTGATAGGAAAGCACACAGAAGCATACTGAAGAAATAAACACAAAAAGCATTTTAACTGAATATGGAAATTCACTATTAGAATTTATTGGTCTTCAATGTTTATGAATTTTATTTTCAACTACGTCAGATTAGCAGGCAAAGCAACACTGTTATTTACGTTTGCAGAATTACAGTGCAGAGAACGTAATGAAATGCAACCAGAATTACAGAACTGTTTTGTTAATTTTCTGAAGATGGTTTTTCATACCTTTGTACTATAATATAAATTCATATATTTTAGTATTACAAAAAGCCAAATCATAAATCTAGTTTTGACTGTGTGGGGCAAGGTAAGCTACGATGAGAACAGTAGCAGTCTCACTTAAAAGTAGCATGATTCATGACCTAAGAAGTTTCAGGCATTTACTATATTTTGTATCATGGTAACATAATAACATAAGGTCTTACTTTAATAATTTAGAACTGTATCAAATACATTCATTGCAAATAAATTTATCATGAGCCATTAAGATTTCAGTTTATATTTTAATGTGTTGTTATTGGACAAAGATCTTTTTTTTCTTTTTTAGAAACATAGATTTTTAGAGTTGAAATGGAATTCAGAGAGCATTCAATTAACCCCATCATTTCACCAGTGAACAAATGGAAGCTCAGAAAATTTTAAGAGAAGCACAAAATGTTTCATAGCTAGACAACCACAATGATTAGGCTAGAACCCAGGTTTGTTTATTTCTAATTTATTGTACTCTTCTAGAAGTTCAGACAATGTTGATACGATAACAGGCTCTTTAAAGATCTGGCATCTGTAAGTTTATGCTCATGTCAACCTATCAGATCTTTAGATTTTAAGGCAACTGTTTGTTAAAGATATATAGCTTCAAAGCTATAACTGAAAACAAAAATATCACTTTGCAATAAAGTTGTGCAATTTTACCATTTCAACTCACTTCATTTATGCCCATTATTTTTGATAAATCTGTTTTGAAGGCACTGGTTTAAAAGCAGTTAAATCGCTTCCTCCATTTAACTTCCCTGTACTGATGCATACGCCAATGCTTTAAAAGAATATAACAATGTGAAGGAAGGAAAAGTAAAAACTGTACCTGTAGTTGTATTTTTGTATCTTTGCTGACACTTTTTGTTCTCCATCGTCTTGTAACCCGCTTGTCTTTCTTTGAAATATCTACACAGTTAGCCTACATTACACAAATAGTTAAAAAGCAACAAAGTATTATTAGGTTAAACACAGGTGACAAACACCATTGACAGAGCATAGCACAGTTAGTAAGGATCGCTGCCACATGTGTGAGCCAGACAGAACCGCATATTAGATACAGGGTGAGTGTTAGAAGCAGAGTAAAGGGCTTGTTTAGGGAAGATATTTCTCTCATAGACAAAATGAAATTAGGATTAGAGATCATTAGTAACTTGTCTCTACACAGATATTATTCATCATTGAGAGTATTTAAATTATATTTTCAAGCCATTTCTGATGCAAGACAAACACTGAAGACCGAATCAGATATCTAGTTTTTCTAGTTAGTTTGTATTTAAAAATGAAAAACATCTCAAAACAGGCATCTTAATGAGCATAATGACACTGAGATTCAATGGTGTTAAGGCTCCGGAAAACAAACTGGTCTATACTATCTATACTATTCCTCTAAAAGTTACCTTATATATTCTTAGGACAAACCAGTAAAGATTATAAATGAATCCTGTTACCAGCAGCAGTAACCCGTTTACCTGCATGTCGGTAAAGTTAGGTGCAGACTGAGTTCTCTGAAGTATTTCCAAATTTTGCAGGAGCTTGCTAAGTTCCACAAGGTTGGACTGGCAATGAGCAAGATCTAATAAAAATAGAAATAAAAATATGCTTAGAATTGGACAGGGAGTGGTAGTGATGGTTAAGGAGGGGGAATCAGTGTCAATTGTGGCAAGCAGGACTGGGCATCTCCAGGTTTATATCAGCAGGTGAGACCAACAGACTTTTCTCTGCTTTAGCACTATGGCACCTCAGCAATCAGATGATCTCAAAGCTTACTCTTTCAAATTTACAGGTGCCAGTGCAGCAGCTGTTTGCATCCCCGTCAAGTTGTGGTTGCTTTCTGGCTCTGCTCCTTGTCCTAGGGGAAGCTAACGCAGTGAAATGTTTACATCCTGTGGCCTCATGCTTCAGACCTCCTCTATCTGCTATTCCAAAATGACTTACAACATGGTTGTCTGGAAATTGGGGAAAGTTTAAGTCACATTAGGAGAAAAAAAATAGATGGAATACAAAATCAAACAAAGTCATCATGAGCAATGTTGCAAAAATGAACTCTCAAAAATCTATTAGATATTTACCAAATCAAGGATTTTCAAAGTGTGTTTCCGTGTCCAGCAGAATCACCTAAGTGTCAAACTCACTCTGTGTGAGTTAAGGTTGGGAATGAAGAAGTGACGATTATTATAAATTTGTGGTGTATACGGAACAAGAGAATTTTTATGATATACCTAACAAAACATTACTTTTTAAAGAAGCTGATTTTTACTTTATGAAATTTAGCACAGTGAAGAGTTTTGAGTTATTGGTATTCCTGGTTCAATGATTCAGCATTTGGAACTTGTTTGCATATGTCCTGTTTATAAATAGACCACAACAAGGCACATCCCTAAGTTTCTGTTAAACTGTAAAGTGACTGCTACTTTTTGTGGTTAGGTGTGCAAAGTTTTATATATATTATCTATGCTTCTCATTAAATTTCAAAGATCTAAACTGTTTGGTTCCAGGGTACTTCAAAAGGATTATGTAAAACGTATTTCTGAATAAAAGTAGGACTCCCAGTGAAACAATTAAAAATGCCTTTACAGTATGATACTAGACTCTACCTTTATCTACCTTGCCATGGTTCACTTAAATAGCAGAAAGCTAAACCCGTAACTGTTATCAAGGGACTGAACTACTGTGACAACATGGGGGAAAATGGCAGGAAGAAACATAGGGAGGGAGAAATGGAAAGGGAGGGAGGAATCCCTGTATGCACAAAACTGTATCGTGGAAAAAAAGGATGGAGATAAAAGGTGAGTTTATTTCTGCGCAAAAATTTTAAATCCAGGCATAGCCATGCATATTCTCCATTGACCTTTAGAGATATTTCGTTTATTCATAAGAGAGAGAGACTGAGCTAGGGCCAAAGCCAGGAGCTGGGAACTCACTGCCAGGTGGGTGCAGGAACAGGAACTCATTTACCTAAATCATCACTGCTGACTCCAATTTCTTTTTCAGTTTTTTTAATTATATTAAATTTATTTATTATTTTAGGATACAGTTTCATATGCTCTGAAATTTCCATTCCACCTCCCCAAACCCACATCCCCTTACTGATTTCCCCATATCAATTTCTACATTGGTAGGAACTTGGAGTCAGGAGCTGGGGCCAAGAAATTAAAACTAGGACCTGAATGCCCACTCTGATCCATAAACTTTCTGAAGACCCATCACATAGGGTATAGTCAGTAAAACATGGCTGCTAAACATGGCTAAAGATTAGGTAGGTAAATAATATAGGCAGTTGTCTTTTAAGGGGATTCTTGGTATCCTGGAGTTGGATATAAGAGTGGTAACTGCTAATAGGGTCTTTTTGTAAGACTCCGAATCTCTGAATACACCACGGAAAGCAGGGCAGCGGGCAGGTAGCATATTCCTAAGGGAGATAGGCTGTTTAATGCTGCTGTTGTCCTTCCAGAATTTCTTGGTCACCAATGACCTTTAGCTGCTGCCATCCAATAGAAGTACTGAATTAAAGGTACAAAAGCCTAACACCACCTCTACTCTCCTTTCACCTTAAGAGGAGGCAACACTCTTGTCTCCCTACTCCCTGCCTCTGGAAGAGAATTTAAAGAATCTTCAGCGGGAGCAATCAGAGCAAAACCCAGTACAAAGAAAGAAGGAAGGGTTAGAGGAAAAGGAGAGAGGAGCTGGCCAGACAAAACTCTGCCAAATATCCCAGACCAGAAGGGACTTCATCCAATATTATCTATCTACCGAATTTTCTGTTTAGCACATATTGCATTCATGCTTCTTAATCAAAGCAATTATTCTATATAAATGGTGCTATATAGGACAGATCAAAATCTGGAACTAGGGCTTCCACACATCAAAGTAATATCCACTCTTTTTTCAACAGAATGGAAATAGAACTTTGTAAATAAATTCAGTATAAGGCAAGGAATTTAAAGCTAAGGCTGAGGAGACGTCACTGCTCTTCACATTTTTTTTTCCTAAAAGATTTATTTTTATTGGAATGGCAGATCAGATTTACAGAGAAGGAGAGACACAGAGAGATCTTCCACCCACTGGTTCACTCCTCAACTGGCTATAACAGTTGGAGCTGAGCCGATCCTAAGCCAGGAGCTTCTTTTCGGGTTTCCCACAAGGATGCAGGGTCCCAAGGCTTTGGAGCAGCCTCTGCTACATTCCCAGGCCATAAGCAGGGAGCTGGATGGGAAGGGGAGCAGCTAGGACACAAACTGGCACCCGTATAGGATTCTGGTGCTTGCAAGTTGAGGATTTAGCCAATTGAGCCCTTGCATCAGGCCCTGCCCTTCACATTCTTTAGTCGCACATTCCTCACCTGTGAAATGGTGATCCCAGTATTTGCCTCTTCTGCCTGTTCACTGAGATGATGAGTGGGAAACTCTATGAAAATCAGAAAGGCTCCTCATGGAGTATTATCACGCTGCATCAACCTGCCCGAATCTTACCATTCCCCACTCACTTCTGTCCTTGACAGAGTGGCTGAGACAAAATCCTGGGCAGCATTCCAATGCTTGTCTAAGTATCTGGCGGCATCTCAGATGACAAAGACATCTCAAAGACACTAAAAATACCCTCGATTTTATTAAATTAAGATTAAATCTAATTTTGAAATTTGAAAGAAGGAAAAAAATTAAGTCAAGAAAGGCAAGGGGCTGGTTTGGTGACCTAGCAAGTTAAGCCACTGCCTGCAGTGTCAGCATCCCATAGAGGTACTGTTTCAAAAGCCCAGCTGCTCCACTTCTTATCCAGCTCCCTGCTAATATACCTGTGAAAGCAGAAACGCCCCTGCACCCATGTGGGAGATGGGGAGAAGCTCCTGGCTCCTGCCTTTGTCCTGGCCTAGTTCTGGCTGCTGACTGCCACTTAGTGAAACAATGGATTGAAGATCATTCTCTTTCTCTCCCTCTCTCCTTATCACATCATGCCTTGTTCCAAAAAGAAACATGCTATCCAAATATGGAAGAGTTAAATAAGTTAAGGTATCTCCAAACGTATTCATTGTTTCATTTAAATGACATCTATTGGGAGGACACTGTGTAGCCAACATGATTCTAAACACAAAGTAAGGTGAGATTCATGTAATTTACATTCTGGAAAAAAAAAGTACATTTAATAACCAACGTTTACAGTGAGACCCCATTTACTCATCTTTAATGATGGCATGTATTGGCATACATAGAATACTCAAAAATGTTTTATTTCTTAGAGAAAAAGAGGGAGAAAGACCAAGCTCCTTTTTCTGGCTCCCTCCGTAAATGACCAGAACAGCCAGGGCTGGGTTGGGCTTGAAGCCAAGAGACAGGAGTTCAATCTAGTTCTCCCTGCTGGGTGTCAAGAACCCACTCATTTGAGCTATCACTGCTGCCTCCCACCATGCATTTAGGAGGAAGCTGCAGTCAAGAACTAGATCCGGAAACTGAACCCAGGTACTAGAATGGGGGAACACAGGCATCTTACTGAGCATCTTAATTACGAGGCTAAATGTTCTATTCTCTCTATCATACTAACCTGCCATTTTATTATTATTATTTTAAAAGATTTATTTATTTATTTGAATGGTAGGGTTACACAGAGAAGAAAAGACAGAAAGGCAGATCTTGCATCTGCTGGTTCACACCCCAGGTGGTCACAAGGTCAGGCTCCAGGAGCTTCTTCCAAGTCTCCCCATTGGATACAAAGGCCCAAGCACTTGGCTCATCTTCTGTTGCTTTCCTAGGTACCTCAGCAGAGAGACAGATTGCAAGTGAAGCAGCTGGGAAACAGATGTCAATTTGCAGGTAGAAGCTTAATCCCCTAAGCCTCAATGCCAGCCCCAACATTTAAGATTTATTTATTTTTTACTTGAAAGAATTACGGAGAGAGAGACACACACACACAGACATCTTCCATTTGCTGGTTCATTTCCCAAATGGCTGCAATAACCAGAGCTGAGCTGCTCTGAAGCTAGGATCCAGGAGCTTCTCCAAGGTGTCCCATGTGAGTGCAGGGCCCCAAGGCTTTGGACCATTCTCTGCTGCTTTCCTGGGCCATAAGTGGGAAATTAAGTTGAAGTGGAGCAGCCAAGACATTAACCCAGTGCCCATGTGGGACGTTAACACTGCAGGTGGGAAATTAGCGGGCTAAACCCCCTCACTGACGTGTCCCCCCCACACCCGACATGACATTTATCTTCATGGGGAAAAAGGTTCTCCAAGAGTCAAGTAATTGCTTGATATTCTTGAGATGATCTGTACTGATCTTAAGTCCAGATCTGTGAATGGTCAGCCTCTTCAAGTACAAATGAGACATGCCATAAGTATATACACTGCTACAACTTTTGAAAAGCAACTGATGAAATAACCCCCAAAATGTTATTGGTTTGGAAACACAGACAATTTTATTACTGGTATTAGGGACTCTCAGAAGTGACCAATATGGGTCAAAAAAGTGCCATAGAATTTTAGGAATTGGACAGCTGCTGAGGTCTGAAGTCACTAGAGCAGCTTTGGGTTGATGCAAAGGATTCAGGAATATAGGAAGGCGGAGAAGGGAAGAGAAGGCATCGTGTCTTGCAAAAAATTCGCCAAAGGCACTAAGATAGCAACATGTAAATGCTCACTGTTCATGAAACCACAAATACATTTCACTGGGTAGGCTATAAAGGAAGGCAATGTGGAAAGGGGATTTAGGGTCAAAAAGCTGACTATGCAGTTTGTTAAGTGCTGTGCTAAACATTGGGAGTATAAAGCCCCAGGACAATGGAGAACCATGGAAGGGATTTTTGCATAAACAGTATTTTAGGAGCTAATGGCCTTGGGGGAGCATTACGCAGTGGACAAAAATTTGACTTTTGGGTTAGTGGAATATGGGTTGGCTGGCATGCCAATAGCTCTGCCAGGGTGGCTGTATCATCTTAGGCAAATTCCTTAAACTCCATGCATTTCACTTCCCATGTCAGCTAAGTGAGAAGAGTAGCAATATTTTGGCTGAGGGCATTAGGATAATGTGTGCTGAGATCTTGCCAGAGTCTGCTCGCATCTCCAAGAGTAGGGGGTTCCTGCGAGCCTCTGCAAGGGAGGAAACTGAGTCAGAAGGCTGAGGGGCTGCTCATGGTGATCCTGAATCAGAAAAAGAGCATTGGAACTCTAAGAAAGGAGAGATAAGGAGGACAAGAAAAGGAGGGGAGGGGTGTTCTCAAAGACACAATAGAACTGTTTGGGCTTCATGAACAGGGACAGAAGGAGGGCTAAAGATGACCTTGAGGTGTCAAGGGTGGTTATGACAGCAGTACTGGTGGTAACAAGGATATGTAGGAGCTAGGCTCACTTTTGGGAGAGTTACATGCTGGGAGGGCAGTGTGACCAGATGTTCAGACACAGGCTCAGCAGTCAGCAGCCCAACTCCATTGTTAGAGTCATGAGAACTTGGACAATTGAGTGCACTTCTCTGTACATGTGCAAAATATGGCTGAGAGGAAGAAATTAATTACTGTATATAAAACACCTAGAATAGTGCTGGGGTACGGGAAAGACTCAACACCTACTTACTGTTACTGTTATCACACCTCCTATCCCCCCTATCACCACTATGACCGTCACCACCACTGCTGACCATATCATTACCACTGCCATCATACTCTCTACCACCACTAGCATCATTAAAACAGATCTCAGTTGAAATTACGAGAGGTGGACTTCGTGGCACCTTGAGTTGAGACAGTTGCATCCTACATCAGCGCTGTTTGGAGTTCCCATTATTGCCAGGAGACAGACGTTTGTTCCATGACCAAGACAGAGCAGCAGAGAAGGCAGTTATGGAGGGGACCTAGTGAGGAGGCAGGACGGAGTTTGGGAGGTGAGCAGAGGACTCTCCTGGGATGTAGTGTTGGCCGTGACTGCCCAAGGCTGGGGCTTGAGAAAGTCCAGAAAAACTGACAGAGATGAGGGAGGACCCATTGGGTAGAAGGCAGTCAAAGAGCAAAAACCACGCTCATTTATGTGAGGAGAACTGGCAGGGAATAGGCTGAACCAGGGGCCGGAGAAGAGTCTGAGGCACAAACATAGGAAAAGGAAAGTCATGGCATTCAAGGGGGTGGGGGGCTGAAACTAGGACCCCACATTCAGCTTCTCAGTTTTTGCTGTTTGTACTGTTTGGTTGGCTTTTCCTCGCAGCCCATGTGGGTGAGCACTGACCTTCCGCACACCTGTCCATTTCCTCTGAGTCTTGTAACCAGGCTGCCACTTTACTCTGGCCGGTTGTGCAGGTAGAAGGGAGGCTGTTGCTGCACGGAAGAGGTGACTGCCAGGGAAAACTGTTAGGCTGCATCTACGAAAAGCGAGAAGAACCAGAGAGGAACTGCATGGTGACATGAATCAAGAACAGGGCATTGAAATGATATCCTCCACCTTAAAAATGCAAGTCTCCAAAGACTGTAGAAAAATATTTGAGATGGAAATGTAACTAACTCGGTTTGCTCTTCAAAGTCGGAACATATGACTCAAACTATCACCTTGTACCCCTTAAAGATGTACAATTTAAGATGTTTAGAACAATGTAAAAAAAATACAAGTATCAATTGAATTTGTATTTGTTCTTGTTTTATTAACAGAATCATTTATGCTGGTGACACTATCTCTGATGGTTTTAACATTTCTTGTTTAAAAAAGATTTCTTTATTTTTATTGGAAAGTCAGACATACAGAGAGGAGGAGAGACAGAGAGGAAGATCTTCCATTCGTTGATTCACTCCTCAAATGACCAAAATGGCTGGAGCTGTGCCAACCCGAAGCCAAGAGCCTTGAGCTTCTTCTGGGTCTCCCATGTAGGTGCAGTGTCCCCTGGCTTTAGGCCATCCTTGACTGCTTTCCCAGGCCACAAGCAGGGAGCAGGATGGGAAGTGGGGCTGCCGGGATTAGAACCAGCACCTATATGGGATCCCAGCATGTGCAAGGTGAGACCTTGCCACTAGGCTACTCCACCAGGCCCTGTTTTTTCGTTTCTTATGTTTAGAATTTATATATATATATATATATATATATATATATATATAGCATTCTGCATATTTAATAATTTATAATTTCATTGTTGATTTCCTCATTCACTTGAGAGTTATTACTTAAGACAATAAAGGGCTTTGTTTTATTTTTAAAGACAAAAAAAAAAAAAAGGAAGAGCACAGTCCAAATACATAGGATCCCACTAGCTGAATGGGTTATTGGCTCAGTGAAGGCAAACTTCATGGACAACACTCATTAGGTTACGGTTTCCATCATTCAAGGAAGGGGACAAATTCCAAGACTGCTGTATTTCTCACTCAGAAATTTCTAATAGCTGCAATTTGTCAGCAAGCTGCATTTGATACAATCAATGTGTTTATGGCTTCTCACTCATGAGTGTGGGTCTTTTGTTCCAAAAAAGTCACCCTCAGGATAAGCCCAAGGACCTGCCAGCCACAAGGGACTGCTAAATACGTGACCATCAGCAGGCAGTGCTGTGATGATTTGAACGCACACTGAAACCGACAACGTGTGAAGAGGTCTGTTTCACTAAGTTATTATTTACAGCCGACAGGCCTTCTTCCATTAAGGGAATTTTATGTGAAATACCATAAATGTGTGTGAAGTGTGTAACTACTAAGTTGAGTGCAGTGAACAGTCAGTTGGAAAAGGCAGACATTTTATACTGAAGAAGCTGAAATAACTTTGCAATGCCATACTTGACTTTAATATTCAATGGCAGCTGTGTCTCTTCTAAGTCATTACGAAGTGAATGATGCACATACTTCGCAAGCTGGGACTCAGTTATTACTCACATTGGGTCACAAACCAATTAACATCCAAGGGTTTCATAATGTGCTATTTAGAATGCAAGCAAAGTCACAAAAAGCTCATTTCACTCTTTATTGCACTTTGATAAACTTAATGGAAATCTTTCAGCAAGTTAGATTATGGAGGTATATCATTAGTAAATGGAACAATGGCTCTTTTTGTGAAAGCCAGAGGTGGCCAGCTGTCATTCCAAACCAGGTAGTGGGGAGGATTTGGTTTCATTCCTCCATTCTCATATATCACCTAAGTTATTTAATAAATAACACAAGGGATGGAGTTTTATTATTTTTTTCAATAGTGTGTGCCAACAGAACTGAAATAACTACAAAATTAGAAACATACATAAAAAAAAAACCCACTTGGGATATAGTTCTTATTTAACTTGGGCTAACTCTGGGGTTCATTCTATTATGTGGCGAGAGTCTCAGAGGAAGCTGGGATCGTTTTGGAGGTCTCTGCGCTTCCAACCATCCTAAGCCCCTGACTTCCTGGTTTGTTCTTTTCTATTTCACAAGTAGCTGGCTTTGGGTTACTCAACACTATTCCTAGGAGAAAATTAATTAAATAGTCCTTGGCAGGGCTATAAACAAAATGAAATCATGTAAGGTCTGAGAAGCACGTGAAATAAAATCAATGGGATTTAACAAAAAAAAGTGTTTAATTTCTGCTAAAATAACAAAAACTGAACAAAGTAATGCTTCATTTAATCTAATTTGTTTCATCTTTTTTATGAGGCTAGGAGGATTTCCAATGCTTTGCAAAGAAAGCCAGGATTGACACACTGCCCACATTCAGTTTAAACACATACAGAACAGTAGAGACATCTGTGGAATGTTTGTGAACTCGACCTTTGTGACAGCAGCTTCTTCACGGTTGGTCGTGTCCCAAATTTCAGGTGCCAAGATTGGAGCTGGAGCATCTCTGGGCAGAGCCATGTGGCTCTATTTCAGGGAACTTAATGACTGGATCAAAGGCAGAACCAGCTGCCTCCCAGTTCACTGTCTCAACCTTGATTTTTTTTCAGCAGATGACCCCTCCAGCTTTTCATTAATTTAAGAATCACTTTCTTATTAGAGTACAAGTAACAACTTTAACCCCGCCCCAGGCTGGTACTGATATTGGAAACAGACACGCAGGTTCAGATCCTGGAATTTTTTGTCACTTCTGGATAAATTTTTCACAGCCTCTGAAGTTTGGCTCCATGCTAACCAGGAATGAGTTGATACTCAACAAGTGTCTGGACCCCTAAATAGGCTACTGCTTATATCACCGTCACATGTTCAAGTACAGTTACATTAATTGCATGGGTAAATTTACTAACCTCTCTCTAGGACCTACACATAATTACAGCTCAAGGCAAGAACATGAGTTTCAGTTTCAAAATTCTGGGACTTTTCTTGCTACCATCCAGGAAGGCATCTGACTTCTGGGTGCTGCTGCACTTTGTAGTATTGCTACAAAGTCACATGAATTAGGATGCAGTCTATTCATTAGAAAGGAAAAAAATAATTGCTCATTCTCTTGGCCAATCACATTTCTGTTCTCTACTTGATCAGTTTTGATACCAAGGTCACTGTTACTTCCCAAGTGTTATTCACAAACCAAACTTCTTTCCATGTCCTGCAAATGTGAGTCTTGAGTGTTGGCCTAATTTCCCCAGCATTTTCCATGCTGGTGACAGGACAGTCATACCTTCCCATCCACAACGGAAACGTTAGCCGCTGGAGAGGACTCAGCTGTGGAAGTGGATGGAAATATGTGAAAACTTGCATCTCGGGGTGACCTCACAATTTCATTCTGACGATACAACCGATGATGGCGCAGTTTGGAAACCCACGCATCAAACCAGTCCTGGGACTTCACCTAAGGCAAGGAGCAGCAAGAGAAATACTTGTCAAGCCTATTGCTGCTAGCATAGGCAAATAATTTCCCCCATTTCTGATAAGGGCAGAAAGTGTGTTGACGAGTGAATTCACCTTCAAATGATAGATGTGCTCCTCTGTGTCCAGGTCTATTCTTCGAGCTTTCTTTTTAATGGACATGACTGAGAGGCCGACATCAATGCTCCCATGCACCTTCCCTTTTTGAATCTAAAAACCAAAACATCAGTAAGCTGGCATGAAGCAAATAGGACTTGAAGCATTTCTATACTGAAATTTAGGTGGACCTAAGGTAATGTTCAGCTTATCTCTTTAATAAAGAGAAATGGGGTAATAAGGTTTTGAGCTGAAGGTTCTTTAGCCAAGGACAGATGAAGCTGCAATGACTTCACACTTCCAGTAAGCGAGACTATCCATCTTACGTTTTGGCATAACCTATCTTGCCACTTCGTAATTCTAGACTACTCGGTTCATATACCCCACCTTCTAAGGCATCTTAGTGGTTCCTAAAATAACTGTGGTCAATTTTTGACCTGCAGCAAATGACACCCCTGAATAATCAGCTGAAAGACAGCTGCTGGGGCAGCACTGGGCAGCTGGGACCAGACAGCATGGAGCAGTCAGCTCCTCCTACCGGGTGCTGCCTTGTGTCAAGGACATGGCTGATTTTACAGCACAGACAGGGACAATGGTGGAATATGAACTTTCTGTTATTTCCCCCTACATAACAATGGTAAAAAGAAGGGAATTTTCAGTTTGATATGTAATCAACCACTTTTATACTAAAAATTACCTAGGTGCTGTTTTAATAACTTGGGGTTCGCAAGACAAAAGGATGCATGCATGCAATAGAAATGAAGTTCAAAGACAGTTTTTGAAAGAACACTGACAAGAACAAAGACTGTTTACAAACTTAAAGAAAGCACATGAAGCGGTTTCTTAAGAGATGAAGGAATATCAAGCAGTGATTTCTCTCCAATGGAGAAAGGGCAGTTTTAGTAGTGTGCTACTTTTAGGTTTCCACTTCAGTTTTGAATAACACGTGTCAAAATGAGGAAATGGAGTCTTCATGCATAAGCTTGTGAGTGTTAGCATAAAGCACATCTCTCCAGAACTTGGCGGGTGGGCGCTTGTTAAACATTACAGGCACAGACATGCACAGAGCTGGTAACTAGGGCACAAGGCTTGTCCATTGACAGTGTTTACTCACTTCAAGCAGAATGCTAAATCAATCTGTCAAACATGTCCTGGGAGCTACTTACATCCAGTGGTGCCTTTGAATACTTTAACATTCCATTATCCAGGACAAAAAACCGCTGCAAGAATCAAACATCCCTAGTTACTGTCTGCATTTGGAATTATGTAAAACACACACACGTGTAGGTCTAAAGCTTCTGGGCATTGAACAACTAAGTCTGACAATTTCGATGTATGGCTTTGGTACAACGAGGGGATCAGAGCTTTAGCTTCATGACTAATAACCTACCCAGTGTTTTGCTGCTTTTATTTGTACACACAATCCAAGGAGGATGGAGTCTTTTCACCATGGTTTTTCTGAGCAGGCAGGAAACCTCAGGGCCTGCAACCAAGACCTTTGGAACAAACCACGTTGGGATTGTTTTAAAGTGAAAAATGAGAAGAACCTAGATTCACAGTGATTGGGGATCTCTTCTTCACAATTCTACAGGAGATTTTTCTTTACACTGAAGTTAAATTTGTAAATTTCACCCAGATTTCATTCCAGAAAATGCTCATGTTCCTTAAGAAGCCAATGGTCTCTATCTGTAAGTAATGAATTATCTGGAAAGATTAGCAGCCTTAACATACATTTTCACTCTTCATTTAGCAAAAATGCTTTTCATTATTACACAAAATTATTAGCTATTTCTGATAGACATTATAGTGTGCTTTTTTGGGGGGAAGAGGCAGTTTTGGTACTTCCCAAGATGCTGCAGGTGAAGTCTGAATGGATGCAGACATTTGTGCCATGCAAGCAGAAACTCTTTGTTGTTCTCTTTCCATGGTGATTCGTAAGAGAACAGATAGGTCCCAGGAGCCAATCATACAATGGATCTACCACCCTGCTCTTGCTCTGCAGATCCAAGGAGCACTTCATGTTGCTGGAAAATTAACTCATCGGGAGGTTCTTATAAGGAATTCTTGGCTCTTGCACTGAACTCACAGAAGGCTCCTATAACCCCTTTGTTTTGGGTTTTGGGGGCATAAGAAGTAAAGTGCTAGAACAAATCTCTACAGTAGAAAAAAACATGTTCACTCAATTGCCTGTAACTTGGACAATCAAAACGCCTGAATGACACTTGAAGAATGTCTTGAATGTCTACAGTTAGTGACTCATATAAAACTTTTTTGTTTAACCACTCTTTCCAATATTTCTACCTATCAAAGAATTTCAGCAAGAGAAACTTGTCAGATGTCACAAGGAAAGACATTAGCAAATGCACTGATTTAAAGTGGTAAGATCCAAAATCAAGGGCAATCCTAGGAAGCACATCAGTTAGCCAAATTATCAGAAAGCACAATAGTGGTGACACGCCTTACAGAAGGATAACAGCGTGGGTCCGGTGGAGACAGCTTCAGACCAGAGAGATGTCACAATGGTCAGAAAACCCTTTACCCTGTTTTTACTCCACCATTAGAGACAGGGGATTGGCACACTTGCTGTCTGCTTATTTTTATGTCTTACCTTTGAGTACATCCAATGCTTCCTCATGGAAGTTATTATACATAGTTTTGCTGCACTAAGTCAATAGGAAGCCACCCTGCCCTCAAGACAACAAATCCACCTGCTCTGAGATGAAATCCTTCAGCAAAGGGGATGAGTGGGCAAACTTTCTCTTCCAGAGAAGATATTCAAAAGTCTAACACCAAGTGTCTGCCATTGGGTTGTGTACCCAAGGTTTGCACTGAAAATGGAATACAATCTTCTTCTTAGCACTCAAAATTCCTGCTACTCAAGTCATTTTAATAATGTCATTACATTGTTTTCTCCATAATTAAAATTAGGAGATGAAAAAGGATGTTAGTTGAAAAGAAATGAATAAATTATAAACTTTAAATGGCAGCAGATAAACTTCTAGAATTAGCAGTTTTCCAAATTTACTTTGGTAGCAAGAATTTTAAGAATTTATTCTAAGGAACTAAATGGAAACAAATGTAGTAGGATGTTCATAACAATATCAAGACAGTAAAGAACTGGACAAGTCCTATATAACACATCCAGCAGTAGGAAATTCATTCAGTAATGGCGGAATATATAATATAAACCTACCAAATAAAACATATGCACATAATTAAATATTAGAATATTTAATGAGAACACATTCACATTCATTTAAGTGGAAAAAGCAGATTATAAAATTAGTTTAAAAATCACACATTAAATATGTAAAATGATTTTCCTTGCAGTGCATACATGTATACACGTATTGATCTTGGACTCAAGTTGGCATAATAGATTACAACCCATATGGTTAAAATAAAGACTTGAAATTCATTTTTTCACATATGGCCATCTTCTTAATGTCTCTCCAAATGACAACATATATAATAATATGAAGACAATTTGAACCTCAGTCTCATGAAACTGTTACCTTGTGCCAGCCTTTTAAAGGCCATTTTCTTTTCTTCAGCATAAAGCCTTCATGTTTGTCTGGTTTCTGGACATTGGTTTGGCCTATTTTCAGCCCTTCTATAATTTCCCAGCTGTCAGCTTCCTGAAAGAGAAGAAAAACAAATCACATATTTTTTTTGTGCTTGATGATACACTTAAAGGGGATTCTTCAGTAGCAGTTGTTTTTTGAAGCAACACTCAACCCGCCAGAAGTATGAACAACATTCTGGAGAGGATTCTAGCATCAAGCACAGCCACACACTGCCATGACATGAGTCTCCTAGGTAGGCAGTGAGGTATACGGACCCTCCCAGAGACTCCTTGGAGCCGCCCTGGCTATCTGCAGTGGAATGGAATTTTGATTTGAATGCCTGTACTCAGAATGTTTAAGATGTTTATTTCCAGACAGGTAACCTCTGGGCACAGAAGCACTTTAAAGTTTCCAAACAGTATTGTTTTGATGACAAATGTTCACTCAGTGTGCGGACTGGGCTTTCTGTGTAGAAATGGAATGGCTGCAGTTGGCTAAAATGGATTGTATCCTACTCTCAACAATGAAGAACAGTGCTGTGGTCACGTTTCCTCTTGGGCAGGCTGTGTGCCTCTCAAAGCGTGCATAAAATACCTCATTCATCAAATGCACACACCCATGCTCTCAAAGATGCACAAAGCCTTGGGAGCCTGTGGAAACTGCAGCAGGCTACAAAGTCAAACTTCTGGGCATTAGATTCTGCTTCAAGACTCCTTTATGGTAAAGACTCACCATGTCATGATATCCTGCTTTATCAGGCATGTTGTATTCATCTACAGGATTTACATTTTTTAAAGTGAGTTGTCATTGACTTTTAAAAATGTAAACCCTTGCTGGTCTAGAATGACATACCCAGCAAAGCTTTCCTTTGTCTTTCCTTATTTCCTAATAAGAATTTTTCCAGGAGTTAAACAGTAAAGTTAAAAGAATATGCCTCTTCCAAAAATGTCCTACAAATGATAGAACATCCCAGTAAAATAACAGAAGACTAAATCAATGAACAACCCATTGCTAAACTGACAAACCAAATTACCACCCATTCATATTAACCCTGCATATAAATGGCTTAAACTCATCAATCAAATGTCATAGATTAGTAGACTGGATTTAAAAACAAAGCCTATCTATTTGTTGCCTACAGGAGATGTGTCACACCAACAAAGATTAGCGGAAACTATATCTCATAGATTTTGGTCTGGAAGTAGAGATGCATATTGCATTGTATCCTCATATCTGAATCTGATATTACAGTTACTTTACATCCCTTTAAATGAAAAAACACAAAACAAAATCAACAACAGGAAGAAAAAAAGATATAAAAAACTCCAAGGTGTTATAAATTTCTATTTTATAATTGCTATTTTACAACTATTTTATATTCTATTTTATAACTGCTAACTATATTTTGACAATAGGATGCTGGAGTCTGCGCTATTGTCCATGACCACAAGGATGGACATATGACTATTTATGAAGAACTGTATTATAGTAATAATTAAGGGAACTTAGTGGCAAGAGGGAGAGGGGACTTTGGGAAGGGGTAAGATTCCCAGGACATATGGAACTGTATCATAAAATGATAATAATAAAAAAGAATACAAGAATGTTTCAAAATTTAAAAATTAAAAAAATAAGTTGTCAACATGTATTAACCAGAGGATTTCAACTAAGAAAATACCTAAGATCTGGTGGTATCTGGCCTCTTAGCCAGATGTTGGTTGCCCTGACATGGCTCAGAGGAAGAGGTGCCATAATCAGCTACAGGAAAGGAGCAGGTGGAGTATTTGCTATCCATTGTCTTTTCCATTCTCTTCTCCAGTCACCTCAGAAGCTGCTTATCCTACGGCCTACCCAAATTGATCTTAAGTCCAAGTATACATACATGGGGTGGAATTTTCACACTGAGTTGTATTTCCAGGAGATGTGCCTAAATCTGGCTTTACTCTAATATTTCTAGGACTTGTGGGTGCTCCTCAAGTTCTGAAAAGTCTTCTACAGCTGGCAAGAAGGTTTCTTCTCCCTAAGATCAACCTCATGATGCCACCCAGACCTAGAAAAAGCAATTCTACAACATGGATGATGGATTTTATGAAACACACCAACTGGTGATTCATTTGGCAATGTTGAGAATGCTTTAGGACCTGATGTGATAGTCCAGAGGCTAAATACTCACCTTGCATGTGTCAGGATCTTTTATGGGTACTAGTTCGTATTCTGGCTGCCCCACTCCCACCCAGCTCCATGACTGTAGCCTGAGAAAGCAAGTTGGGGATGGCCCAAAGCCTTGGGACCTTGCATCCATGTGGGAGACCTGTGAGAAACTCCTGGCTCCTGGCTTTGGATCAGCTTAGCTCTGGCTGTTGCGGTCACCTGGGGAGTGAACCAGCAGACAGAATATCTTTCTCTGTATCTCCTTCTCTTTACATATTTACCTTTCCAATAAAATTTATTAATTAATCAATTTTAAAAATGCTTTAAAGAATCTGTAACTACACAAGAAGAGCTTTTCTACTTGAAGATGATCCTATCAGAAACAGTGATTGACCTGGTCAAAACTGCTAAACAGAGTGATTTTTAAAAACTGTTTCCAGTGAAACATTCACAAGCTGTATACCACAGCATGTTCTTTTGGGGGCGGGGCGGTGACAATAGTGGGGATGTCATCATCTACAAGGTAGTAGCTCCCCAATTTCTTAACATCAAATTGCAACTGAATAAGTGAGCACTGCTTATAATAATGATAATAGCAGGAGAAAACAGTAGATTCATAAAAAGTCTAGTATCTTTGCCTTTTTACTTTTACCAGAAAAGTAGAGGATCATTCTGTTCCATAAAAGTGGTAGAATTACAGAGTGAACCAGTACATGGGCTCTCTCTATCCCTTTCCCTTTCCAATGACATACACAATTTTTAAAAAGCTACATTTTACTTATTTTTTTTAGAAAGTTCATCATGTTCAAGAACTTAAAAGAATAGCTCTCTCTCTATATATGAGAATAGCTCTCAGATATATTCTCTAGAACTCTCTTAGAGGGATGCCAGCTGTATTTATGATATTTCTATTTTGAGGATACCCATCCATGGATAGTAACCATGAAAAAAAAAGCCATCCTTATTTCTGGGATGATCTTCTTCAAAGGTTAGGGCCGAACTCGGGTTTATATTCTCTCTTTCTCTCTTCTGTGTGTGTGATGAATACCCTCTCTAACTTGTGAACATGTAAACACGGAATCATCAAGTACAAATGCTTTTCAAATAGACTTTTAAGTGAGCTCTGATAACTGCTTGTCCCTGTGGGACTAGGACTACCGATTTCTATTTCAGTGGCTTCTTTCTTCTTTAGAGTTTTAACTGTACCAGGGAAAAGGAAAGATGAAGTACAGAAAAGTAAAAAACTTAAAATACACTTCTCTGTTAAAATTTGGAATTCATAGTATTTCTTTCCTTCCTTACTCATTGGAAAGGCAGAAAGAGAGAGACACACACCAAGAGACAGAGAGCTTCCATCGACTGGATCACTGCCAGGATGCCTGCATTGGTTCTGATCAAGCTGAAGCCAAAGTCAGGAGTCAAAGAACTATGTCTAGGTATCCTACATGGATGGCAGGAACCCAATCATTTGAGCCATCACCACTGTCTTCTAGGAAGCTGGAGTCAGGAAGGCAGAGTAGAGAGAGTACCCAGGTGCAGTAAGAACATGTGGACTTTAACTGGCATCTTAACTGGCAGATCCAACATATACTTATAACGCCTGTTGCTTAAACATAAATATAGCAGAACCAAGCATAATTCCCTTTGGTCTGATACAATGTGGTAATGTCTAGCACAAGAATGGAAAATTCTAATAAAATTCTCACAATTAAATAAGCTGTCAAACTGGTAAAGCAAACAATGTTCTCCCTATTTCAATTTCAACACTGATGATAATGTTACCAAAAGGTATAAAGTGACCCAGCTAGCACAAGACAAAATCTTCCAAGTATGATTTTCTATTGATGAAATACTTGCTTCCATTCCTAGTAGGTGTATCATAAGAAAATTAAGTTAACTTTTTGGAAGACAAGCTTTATTTTTGAAGTTTCAATTGATATTTATTTTCTGCTTAACAATATACACTTTTTGTAGACTTACATATAACAGAAACAGAGTCCAAGTCCTAATGAGATTATGTCGCTGCATGACTGAAGTCAGATACACACACATATTTGGTGTTGCACAATTTTAAAAATACTTTTAACTTGATCACAGAAAATAAAAATGGAACATAATATAATAGTCCCAGTCATTTCACTTGGAAAAAAAAACAGACATTTCCTTTCTTCAGGGTATACTGTATGTTTTTGCATGTTTGTGTGTGTAGTGGCGATGAGGGTGTATGTAAAATGCTTTAATAGGTAAAAGCACAGAACAAAGCATTTGAAGAAATCAGGGCAAGCACAATATGTATTTCAAAGAAAGTTCTTCCACTATCAGGAAATTCATTTTTCCTTAGAATCATAGAGTTAGTGGGATGCTATAGTATCTGGAATCTGTACTAGCATTAAAAAAAAAAAAAAAGGATCTGTTAATTTTATAGCAAGATCCAAACAAGCAACAATGTAGAAAGGATGGATTTTGTTGGTGTCCCAAGTATATCTCTTTATCAAGCCAGTGGACCCAATCCCAGTTACTATGAGCTTACTTCTTTCCATAGGGAAATGGTTCTTGACCAAACTTGGGCCTTTGTATCTGGGAAATCATACTGTGGTTATTACTAAAAGGAGAATAATGTAATAACCCAATTCAATGAGCTAAAGGCTTTGGGAGGGAATGTGTGTTCTAATCATGTGCCCAGCAGGAGACAGAAGCAGGTGCTCAGCACGTGCTGGCTGCCTTTTCCATGGCCTACATTGATTTATTCTTTTTTTTGGCTAAAGCATAGGAGAGAAGTGATGTCTCAAAGCGATTGCCACTTACGTTTACCAAGCATACATTCTCTATTTGCTATTTACATGGAAATCAAACCACTTTTTACCTAACTTTGAATTATTTTTATAGTTTAGCACTCTCATTTTTCTTTCAGATTATTAGTCTATTTCTGTCTGCTAGGATACATTTTCATAATTTGTAATACTTTCAGACCATTCTATGTAAAAGTATCTATATTTTACAACAATAGGGTAGAAAAGTGTCCTTCTCTTGAAGAATTATGTTTAATATAAGAAAATTGAAATGGAAGGATTCATTATACACATTTAGAATTAACCATCATTGGAAGTAATCTGCTATTTTTATATCTGAATTCAAAATCTGCATGCATTCTACTTTCAGAGTTTTTTTTTTTAAGGGACACAGCCCAATGAAAATCCCAGGGGGAATAGGATGGCAGCTTCTCAACTCTTCTTTGCAATTTTTGCCTGTGAGGCATAAATGAACTTAGATAGTTTCCTTATCTGAGGAAGGGCAGGCTGAAGGGCACCCCAGCTCCCATGGAACAGAAAAGATATTAGTAATGAACGTGTGCCTGAGAAGGACTAGAATCTGGACTGTGGAATAGTCGTCTGTGTGAGCACTGTTTTATCTTAGAGATTGTGTAGAGCTGAAAAACACTAGCTGGAAGGTTGGACACGTCTAAGTTTGAATTTCTGTTCTGCTTTTACAAACTTTGGGAAAGTTACCAACTCTCAGTTTCTGCATTTTAAAAATGTAACAAATACCTTTCATGCATGGAACTTTTTGTAATCATATTAAATTGGGTAATGTTTTCCAGCACTTATCATAGTACCTGGCATCCAGTACGTGGGCAGTAATGGTAGCTATTACTATTAATTGTTATTACCAGATTTAGTGACTTTCCATTGGCATGACACTGAGATACTTGCTTATCTCTCCAAATGGGAATGACCACAGCTTTTCCTTCCTTCATCCTTTAAAATAAAGAGAGTTTGGGACCTTTGCATGGAACCCTGCAAATCTCAGAAACACATAATTTCATCTATTATCTCCTAACACAGGGCACAGAACTTCTTCGTACTCAAGGCAGAAAAAAAGTGGAAGAAACACCATACACCTGAAGTTACAGTTGCCTTAGTGCAGTCTAACATAAAAGGTTGGGACAGCTGACTGGTCCACAGAAGGCATGAGCATACTAGCAAAAGCAACCACAATGCATCACTGACCTTGGACAGGGGGACTGGTTCTGGTTCTAGCAGCTGCCGGCTTGCCGAAGGCTCAGTACCAGTGGAAGCAGTTCTTTCCAATATGTGGATGCTCTGAAAAGAAAAGGAGACACAGCCCAACGTATGATAGCCTGTTCCTCACATAGAAGGCCACAGAGATTAGAGTGCACAGCTCACGGCACAAACAGCAAGCTGTGTTCCAAGTGACAAGTTTCTCAGCAGCCATGTCAGTGCAGGGCTCTGTTCTCCCCTGTTCTGGTTCTGCTGTTGAACTGCTGCAATGCGGGCTTCAAGTCTGACAACACAGCACATCCTGAGAAATTTCATGATACACAAAAACAGACAGGGTATGCCTGAAATTCCTACGTCATGAGAATGATGTATCTACTTTAGCCTTGCAAAGCAACATTCTCTCACCTGTCCAAGAGAACAGCCAATATATAGAACGTTACGTCAGAAAGTCCACAGCCGTAATATCAATGAGTCTTTAAAGTTTTGCATTAAAACATGCCAAGAACTAATCAAACATAATTGATAGGTATCCTTTACAAAGTTCCTAAAGAGTATAAGGATAAAATATTCCTATGTTTCACCAGGAAAAGTACATGAACATGCAAGTCACGTGGAACACCTGCAAACATTTCCACCCTCTATTGTACTCAAAGAAAAAAAAAACAAAAAAAATTTTCTGTCAGACTAAAAACAAGATGAAAGTTGAGAGAGAAAATAGTATAAACTGGCTATGATCTTTTTAAGGAGAAATTCTACAATTATATAAAAAGTCCTCCGAAAAAGAAGAGCATGCCTCATTGATCAAGTAATACCATAGCTAAATGTCCAAGGAAAGAATTGGGTAAGTGGGTATGCAAAGATACTGGAACACAGACGCTTACTGAAGCATTATTTGAATTAAATATATCTGACACCTATAAAAATATTACATACTACTAAGGAAATGTCAAAACGACAAGTATGATGATGTTATACACATACACAATTAAGACTTACTCCAGAATATTAACGGCACAAAACAAAGGTGACAGAAAATTTAGAAACTTTCTTCTTAACAGTTTTCTGACAAAAATTTCTTTGTTTGCTTGTTTATTTTTTCTACTTACTTTGGGGGGCTCACACTGTAGCCCAGGTAAGCTGCTGCCTGTAGATCCTGGCATCCCATACTGTATCCCCAGTTTGAGTCTCAGATGCTTCCCTTCCTTTTTCAGATCCTTGCTAATGTGTCTGGGAAAGCAGTAAAAGAATCAAAATTTTTGAATGCCTGCCACTCATGTGGGAGAGGAGACCCAGATGTAGTTGCAGGCCCCTAACCTCTGCCTGGCCCGGCCATGGACATCGCAGTCTTCTGGGAAGTGAACCAGTAGATGGAAAATCTCTCTGTGACTCTCCCTTTCTCCCTCTCCCTCTATAACTCAACATTTCAAATCAATTGATCTTTTAAAAAGATTTTTTTTTGCAGCAAATAAGTACTATTTGTGTCTTTGGAAAAATTAAAAAAAAAAACACTTTATTTGAGAATTGTAAATCTAAAAGACATGTGAGAAATAACTCTATGCAATTAATTTTCAAATACAGGCTGAAAATGAAATGAGACATTGTACTGTGGGAATTAAAGTTTCACTGTTTGAACAGATAGGATTGGTATTTATTTATGGAGGTCTCTATTTTTGGTATCCCACTGGAAAAACATTAGATATTAATATTTGCGGTTTTTTCATGAAGAAAATTACATTTTTACATGAGCCAAATTTTTTAAAATCCTTTGTAGATTTTAAAACTTTTTTTTATTTATACTACTTTTAAAAACAAAAGAAGATATGATGCTAGATTAAAAAATCTTACCTGAATGCATTTTTAAAAGATTTATTTGTTTTATTTGAAAGTCAGAGTTACACAGAGAGGGGATTCTATCTGCTCCCGAAATGGCTGCTACGGCCCAAACTGGGCTCATCCAAAGCTGGGAGCTAACAGCTTCTTCCAGGTCTCCCCCATGGGTGCAGGGGCTAAAGGACTAGAGTCATCTTTTGTTGGTTTCCCAGGCCAATAGCAGGGAAACGGATCAGAAGTGTAGCAGCTGGGACGTGAACCGGTGAGATGAGATGAAAAGTGGCATAAGAACACCATAGAAGATGAACCTGATATGCCACTGCACCAGCCAGCCCCCTCCCTGGATGCACTGTTGTTTTTTTTTAAATGTGTGTATTCATGTATTTATTTGAAAAGCAGAGTAAAAAGTAGGGAGAGGAGGAAAAGAAGAAAAAGAGGAGGGAGAGAGAGAAAGGAGGCGAGGAGATATTTTCCTTTCATTGGTTCTCTTCTCAAATGGTTACAACAAGCCAGGCTGAGCCAGCCAGCTACAGAGCTACATATGGGTCTCCCATATGTGAGCAGTAGGGGCCAAAGCACTTAGGCCATTGTCTGTTGCTTTCCCTGGCACATTAGAAGGAAAACTGGATTTAAAGCCGTGCAGATGGGACTGGAACAGTCCTAAATGATATGCCAGTGTTGCAGGTGGGTATTTAACCTTCCACACCACAACACTAGCCCCTCAGTAGACTTTTCCAATCATATAAAGCCATAAGAAGAAAATAATCAACATGAGAGATTGGAGAATTATTCAAGAAGGAAAAACAAAAACAGGTATTTTGGGGGCCAAGTATAAAGTTGGGAAGGGATCAACCAGATAGTTACAGTGTCCAAGGACAGTTTAAAGCAGTAACTAGGACTGTTCTTCCCATTCCCAGATTTATGTGTCTTAGTACTATTTGTGTGGTGCTTTTCACGGGACAAGCAAAGGTCTGTGATGAGTGATGCCCCACGGGCATGTTCAGATTCGTGATAGATAGCACACAGCAACAGCCTGGGGCTTGCATGACTAGTTGGTGCATGTTGATCCAGTAGATAGGACTCTACATAAAACACATCAGATGAAAAAGAAATTTAAATTTACTGTAAGACCATCTGAAACCATCTGAAATCACTATAACATTTTCTGCTGTTAAAACAGAAATTGTACTACTTTTCTTTTCCCCCTGTATCTTTCCATGTTCTCTTGGATATTTCGGAATGACAAAAGTATCTAGTGGATTTAGAAACCCAAAGTCAAACAGAAACATTAAAAAGTAAAAGCCCAGGCTGCTCCCTCTCCCCTGCTCTCCCTCCTCCTCTGTTACTGCTGCAGCAGTGGCTCTCACAGGCGAGCCTAGTAAGCCTGGAAAACCCCAGGTCTTTCCAATTTGGGGGGAAGAAGAGGTGAAATGAAAACTATTTTCAAAATAATATCAAAATGTTATTTGCTTTTTTTAATGTCATTTTCTTTGGAGTTTTCCAGAAGCCACACCACATGTGATATGCTATATTAAACCTAGAAGCAGATGTGACAATCTAGCTGTCTTATAAGAGGCAGGGCATCACAGAAACTTACAAAAATGTAAAATGATACCATTAAACTCGCTTGAAGTATTTTTTTGTAAATACAGGATTTTAAAAAATATTAAAATACAATTTAGGTTAACATGTCATGGGTCTATTATTAATTTTTTAAAATAAACTTTGAAATATTAATCATATAGCTAAGTACTGTATATTTAAATATCTAAACTAGTCATGATTGATAAACATATACCACACAATCAAAACCTCTTAAAATATTTCAGTAATTTTTAAAACTTGAAACGGTATGATTTCTGAACATTTATTTTCATTTTATTTGAAGGATACAGAGAGAGACAGAGAAAAAGACAGAGATCTTGCAGTTACTGTTTCCTTCTCCAAATACCCATGACAGCCATTCTGGGACAAGCCAAAGTCAGGAGCCTGGAACTCACCATGGTCTCCCACTTGTGTAGCAGGGACCCAAGTAGCCGGGCCTCCACCTGCTAACTCCCAAGGTGAGTCCCAGCAGGAAGCTAGAATTGTAAGTGAATCCAGAACTCAAACCAGGCACTCAGAAATGGGACACAGACATCCCAAGGCACATCTTAGCTGCCGTGCCAGACACCTGCTCCAGAGCAGGAGGTTCGACAAACGCTGTCCTAAAAGAATGGCTGTTGAAGCTTGGTGTTGACTATCACAATGGAGAATTCTTACATGTGTATACTATTCTTATCATAGTGTTTCTTTTAAGAAAATTGAAAAGCATTTCTTAAAAGGAAACCCATTTCAAAATTTTATTTAATGCTAGTTCATCTAAATTACATAAACCTCCCATTGATAATAACTCCAAATCATCCTGACACAGTGTACAAGCCACTAAAAGGGAAGAAATAAATCCTTGTTTTATGTATTCCCCAGATAAATCTAAGCAAAATTTCCCTAACAACAATTCTATGAAGAGTAAACAATTGTAAAAATATTCTTTTAGATACACAAGGTGTTTTTCCTGAAAAAGAGAGAGAGAGAGAGAGAGAACCAAGGGCTATATAGTTGTCACTATCTTTCAGAGATTAGAGATATAAAATGGCTCCCCCACTTACAAATGAATTGCTGCATAATTTAAGGTACTGCTGTGGGAAAGAAAGGTCTTAAGATACAAACTTTTTGAAAAACAAGAATTAATACCATAGGCTGGAAAGCAGGGAGAGAGAAGGACAGGTTGAGATTGATTAATGGGAACTAAGTTATAGTTAGATCTCAACAGAAGTTCTGGTGGTAGAGTGTTGCACAGTAGGTTGACAACAGTAGTGTTAATTTACTGTCCTTTCTTATAAAAGGATAATGGATTTTGAATGTATTTATCATAAAGAAATGATCAATGCCCAAAGGCACAAATAATTTACCTGAACATTAAATAAAATGTCACATGTTATCCCATAAATACGAAGGTACTTCAAAAAGTTCATGAAAAAATAGAATAAAAAAAAAGTTAATCTCCTGCTATAGGCAACTGCTTAGGTTGCTTTGTACCTAGGCGAGTGTTACACTGCTGGGAGAAAAGCTGCCAATAGCTGGTGGGCATTCTGGGTCTGTTTAATGCCTAATCTGTGTTAACTATACCAGTGAGCACAGGTGTCAATTTTATTCTGTTTTGCTTGAGGATATGTGGGACTCACAGGGTAGTTTAGAAGTGGGAAACAGAG